CTACAAGAAAGGTTCTATGCAATTTTCTCGTAGGACCAACGGTTTAGAAGTTATTGAGGGAAAACGAAATTTTTTTCCAAAAGTTCGCTGTTTCGACCGTGGAATGGTCGGATTTTATCAGTACCCATAAAATGCCGATTAATCATAGTTAACTCGTTAAATATCGAAGTTCGAAGAAAAACAACTTTTATTTGAAGCATTTTTCGAAATTTTGAGAAAGAAAAAATTTTTCAATTTTTCCGAGATGTTTTCTAAGATACATAAACTTTTGAGATTGATATATAGCCAATACATCCTTAATGATAAATTGTTGATGGAAGATCGTAGAACGACTTACCGCCACCGTTTTTATAGCACAGGTAAGGGAATCTCCAGACATTGGCAAGGTCGACAGCGAATCCGATGACAGATAAAAGGAAGTCAACCTTCCCGGACCAGGTCTCCCTGCCGTCGACGCTGCCGTTCATCATTGGTGGCGTCTTCACCACCCTCGACGACATGTCTCGTTTTCCTATTAGAACAAAATCTATTTCGTATTTTGAGAAAATCGCGAATTTCCATTGATCGTCGGATATAATAGTGCTGGGTTTTAATTGCGTCGCTCGATGAAAATCGAGGTTCATCGAGGGGACAGGACTTATATCGAGATGACAAGTGTAATGGGTTCTCGTTCCGCAGCGATTTTTCATATTTAACACTTCGTTGAAATATAAATAGGATTCTTCTCTCTTTTAATTACGTGAACATAAAATCGTACGCTCACGTGATTGCATTATTGTTCATCATTCGTGACATACGCTAAATAAATAAAATGATTTATAAAACGAAGAGACTATTCTAAGAAAAAGCGAAGTCGATGTCTTACGTCGTATTACATATATTATAAGTATTATTTTCGAAGAGATCGGACGAAGAGTTTAAAGAGAGATGAATGTGGGTGGAAGAAGAGAGGGTGGTGGAGGCTGTGCGGGCGCGGTCACGTGTAATTTGGCGACGACAAGTTATCGATAGCCCTTCAGGCGACAACGCTTAACCCCCGTGCGAGGCTCATTGTGCCCTGGTGACGGGTTCCGGACAAACAGCGTATATTTCAAAGGCGGCCGCGGTGTGCCAGCTTCGAGGGGACTCTCGACGAGGGGTTTTCTGTCACACGCACTGATCCACGCTTGTCTATAGATCGACCCGATTAATTGATATTCGGCGGTTATTGCCAAACGACGAGAGAACTCACCTACTCTTCTTTTTTTATCAACTGAACCGACGAAAACGCGGCTTCCAAGTCGTTTTTCCAAATAATTGCGACATCGACTACTACGAATTACAGGTCTCTTCTTCCAGCACTTTCTTTCGAGGATGTAAGAATACTTCTCATATGAACTCAAATCCTGACCTTAGAACAATTTTCCCTGATGAAATTCTGTCGTGTATTATTTTAACAACAGAAGTTCTAATACATGAATAAAATACTCTTCGTGTTCCTCTGGCTACATGCATCCAGAAGACGGTACTCATGCAAACATCCAATATCGAGATTCAAAGATCGATTGTAAAATTCGATTTGATTGAAGAAATTAGAACCACCTTTCACGATTGTACTTGGAATCACGGAAAAGGATCGGAGGATAATTGAAATTGCAAAAAAGCAATGCGAAACTTGGTTGAGAAACGATACTAAGAGACGTACCCTGACTCGGTACTCGGAGGAGTGCCTTGTTCGGGAAAAGGCGGACGACTGTCGACTGTTCTTCAGATTGTAAACGACGGCGGTAAGGAAATAGAGGGAGAGAAGAGTTGCGTGGAAGACGTGCAAATTCGAAGAAACAAATCCGGTGAGGAGTCGGGGGATCCTTACTCGTGGTAAAGCAAGATGGCAATATTAATTAGCTCGTCGTTAGTGAGACCCGCCGCCAGTCCGTCGATTGCAATATTCGAAACCGACGAATGAACGATACATTTTTATAAATACGTGTATGACAAAATTCAAGAATAAAGGATCATAAAATGTTTTTTTTTATTTCTTTCCACCCCCGTCGTGCGTCACTTCCAAGTTACCGTCGAGGAAAACATGCTCGCTTCTAAGAAGGATCGTAATCTATCGCTTCTACCTTCCGCGAACTGAACAAGAATTATTATTCGAATTGTAAAAATAAATTGGTAACTGAAACGCGACAACAAGGATAATTATCGAGACCGCGATCAGTCATTAGAAACGAGCGTGCGACGTACAACGTCAACGCTCAAATAATTGTTTCTGATTCATTTTTGATAATCAATCATAAACGACGTTAACGCATGAACATATTACGTGTCTATGATTTTACATGCTACCCTTACAATGAATCGAACGAACTTTATGATTTCAAACTCTTTACTCCTATAAGATGATATCTAAACAATAGGAATACACGTTGAATCGTATTAATGGTTCATGGACCATTTATAGTAAGATGATTCTAATTAAAAACGTATGAATACTTACGATATTCCACTTACCAAGTAGCAGGACGATTAGCGAGCGAGACTGGCGATGCTATAGCTTTGCGAGGCACCGCGACACTGACCGCAGACTTCTTCGGTCCACACGACTCCCACGACGAGAACCCGCCACAGGGTCAAAAGTATTTCGAAACTCGTATCCGTCAGACCCATTACCGCGTTACTGATCCTTCCCGAATCGTTTTCGCATAAAGAAAAGATACGATGTCCCGCATGAGATTCGAATTATTGGAATGCCCCAGCGAGTATGTCTTTCAGCTCGCGAGATAGATCATAATTTAGAACGCGCGAAATTCACGATTACGATTCGTATCGTGAGTCCGCGAGAACAGCCGTCGCGGGAGCGAACGGTCGGTCCCTCTGCGGACAGACTTTGAGAGCGATCGCGCATTGGCCACGGTGACAGACCATCAGATTGTTAACGAACAAAATTTGGAAAACGGGTACCTCGTCGGGAAGGTTCGAAAGAATGAGTGAGGAAGTTTCCCCAACGCCGGGACGTATATACGCGCCTCGGTCACGTGACACCGCGGGTCCAGCCCAAACATCCAGAGCGCGTGTCTGCAGAAGCTGGCACAAGCGCGGCGAACAAGAAAGCCGCGCGCATTGTCACGCTCCGCGTGAAAATGATACCGTCGTGTTTATCGCTGTCAGTAACTAACAGATATTTTATGTACATCATTCAATTCGTAAAGGAAGCAGTGATCACATGTCTTAAATCCATGCGTGTATACAGATGTCTTCGTTATTATAGATAAATTGCGATGAACTAAAAAGAGTTGAAATGTACGATACCGTCAGGCAAACGCCTGTATTCAAACTTGCCTTCGGGACGCTACCGCGTCCCTCGATCACAATAATTCATCGGGCGATAAGATGATTCATAAATCACGCACTTATCTAATAACAAACTTATCTCGAACGAGCAGGAAATCGTCAGAGATGATTCGCGTGGATGTTTGACTGTATTAAATTGTAATTGTAGAACTTATTGCCGGACATACACGTTCTATTTTTAAAGGATGTCTATAGAAAAAAAAATTCAAACTTGGTCTGGTTTATTATTATTATCATATCTATTACTTCCGCGTGATATAACGGTTGCCGTTGCGCGTCGCACGTTACTTCCGTTTGCGCAAGGCATTATTAGTTTCGTCGCCATCATAGCGACGAGATCGCGACCGTTTTGGCCGCAGAGCCACGAAATTGGGGAAATCGTCGTTTTTCGACGAGAAGAAAGACGAGAGACAGGGCACTGCGCTCTGTTAGGAGACGTGTTTGTGGTCATCGCAGTACCAGTCCATCGGCCGTGGATTTTCGGCATCTTGAAGGATTGTTTTCTTCACCTTTTGACGATAACGAACATGGCTTATTGAAGATGAAGGGTCTGCAGAAATATACTGTTTCTCCATACGGAGGAGGCCGTAGCTTCGATAATTCTGGACTTCAGCACGAACGATATCGTGCCAGAAATGGACAAAAATACAAAATACCAACAGTTCTCCGGGAAGGGAGCTCCTTCTGATGCTAAAAAGACTCAAGGTGCGTCGTTCGAACGTCGATCGCCACGATTGCGACGTCATCTTTTCATTTACGTCACATGTCTGTACGTTGTGCAAGAGCGAATACGATTTCCGTTGCACTTTAACGTTCACGTTCAAAGTTTATGTCTCAGTTTTTATTTGCCAATGATTTGGTGTAGCAAGGCAGCGTTTAATTATACAATTTCTCGATCATTTCGAGTGGATTTTATGTTCCAATCATAACAATGAGTATACATTATTTTCTATAGATGTTACAAACAAACTTTTCCCAAAAACTTCACGCCGTCGTGAACTAGCAAGCACTAGCAGTTTTTCAAAATTTGAGCAATCAAAGAAGTGCAATGGACAAAAAACAAAAAGTTTTGATAAGAGACCAAAACCTAAAGGACAATATCATGGCAGTTCAAAGGAGGATACCAAGGTCCATTTCCTTCCTGATTTCTTCTGTTTTATTTATTTTAATCCATTCGGTGAATTGAGCGTTCGACTTACAGGTAGTGCACAGAGAATCTGCTGAGCTTGGCTCAGTAATTGTTCCAGGAAGTAAAAAGCAGAATTTGAATCATCTGCTGAATTTTCATTATGAGCCGCGCGAAATGCAAGGTGGCTCAGGTGCATGGAGTTATGGAAAATCTATAAAGAGTTGCTCTCGCAACAGTAACAGGTGGCTTCCACCAGTGCAGCGGCATAAATACAACAAAGAACAATTCTTACAAGCCAGGTATGTTACTCCCAAACTCAGGTACAGCTTCATATTCATAATGATACTAACTTATCGATGCATTCGTTCAGCTGCCAGTTCGTCGTAAGTTCCAGTGGGAATTACACGTTGTACCTAAGCGATCCTGATGTACTAGTTGACTGGAAACTGGTAGAGCAAATCGTAAGTCACAGGTTCATCAAAAGTTTTTGTCGATCCTCACAATGATGATAATAACATTATCTTACGATTTAGAAACTTTATAGTTGTGAGAGTGTGTCATGCCCGATATGTCTGTGCCCGCCGGTTGCTGGGAAAATGACGCGTTGCGGTCACGTTTATTGTTGGCCTTGCATTCTTCATTACTTGTCGCTTTCCGATAAATCTTCGCGTCAATGCCCCATTTGTTACGAATCTATCCAAAAGTCCGATTTAAAAAGGTAATTTGCATGGCTACATTTACCATAGTTTAAAATAACATTATGATTATACTTTTGAGAGACTGAAGATTCTTCTTCCTGTTTCAGTGTTATCGAAATAACACAGAGCACACTGAATTCAGGAGACACAGTTACCTTACGTTTGATGCGCCGTGAAAGGGGATCGTTGTTCGCAGTGCCGGTCGGATCTATGAATCAGAATCCAATTGATTTCTTTCCAGTTTCAGACACTATCAGCAACCAAGTATATTCCAAGCTTCTAATCGCCAATACGGAAGATGTAAGTTCTTGATACTGGAATAAAATAAAACAAATTGAGGGAGGTCAGTTCTAATTACGGTTCGTCTTAGGTTATGGATATCATTGAACGTGAACGTGTTCAGTTGGAATTGGAACTCTCGGATAATCCTGATTCTCCGGAAAATTGTTACATCGAGGAGGCGCTTAATGAACTTTCGCAAAGAGAAGAGGAATTATTAAAAAAAGTAAAGTTCATTCGTGGTTTCAAATAGAATTCTCTAGTCATAAAAATGAATTATTTTTAGACGAAATCAAAATCAGAACTCGTTTCTACGAATGAAACCGCAACAACGCCGGATGATAACAACGATGTCGAAAAATCCCAGTCAGAAGTACAAGCCTCTGAAAATACAAGCGAGAATACAATGTCAGTAAACGAAGAGACGCTAAAACCTGTGGAAAGTTTACCTAACATTCAATCAACATCGGGGATACAGAAATTCTTCTACTTTTACCAAGGTTTAACATGCCCGCCATGGTTTTCTACGTAATTGTGTCTCGTTAATTAAATATAATTATTAAACAAATTAATTTCAGCCGAAGACGGTCAACATTTGTATCTCCATGCAATGAACGTGAAGATGTTGGAAATGCAATATGGCAGCCTCGAGAATTCTCCTCATGTTATAACTGGGAAACTTCTTGAAAAAGAGGGGGGAAATCTTACCGAGGATCTAAGACGCAGATTAAGATACTTATGTCATTTGCCCTTAACTTGCCAGTTCGAGGTAGCCGAGATTGAACTGAAACCACCAACTATATCAGAAGAAGTTCTACATTCATTTCAAGGTGATTTTTTTGTCTGAGAAAGTATAAATATTTTCTTTTCCAGGATATTTTAATTTAATCTCGATCGGCTTTGTAGATCAATTAACGTTGAGGCACAAACGTAGACAGCAACGAGAATGTGAGGAAAGGAAAAGGGAGAAGAAGATCACGGAAGAGGAGAACAAACGAATGGGGAAATATCCAACACCCATCGTACACCTCGACTCGCAACATCATTTTCCTCAATGGCAACCAGATATATTATTTTCGGAGTATGTCATTTTATTTCGTGAATCTGACTTCCGATGTACTGAGGGATATTTATTTACAGAGAGAATGTTCCGACAACACCAGAATCTGCAACGACATCGGTAGCTAGTAGTCCATCTCTAAGCACGTTTGACGAGATCGTTGCATCTAGACAAACTGAAAACGCCGGTCACGAACCGGGACCATCGTTCGCGGAAATGTTGCGGAACACCGGCACGCGTAAGAAACCGCGTACAGCATGGCCATCGATTAACTCCGCTCGTAATACAGCATCCAACGCGAGTACTCAGTCGTCGAGAAGAGATGAAGAGGAAGATTATTTATCGGCACCATCGTACAGTCAGAGTCTCGGCGATGCTTTGGCAGCCGCCTTAGAACAAACAAAGATAGGTACTGCTGCTATGGAAATGTGAATTAACTGTCTATTTTCATTTGTATTTGTTTGATTGTTTCAGAGACGAAAAAGAATAAGGGTGAGAAAAAGAGGAAGAAAAGAAAATCGACTGTATTGTTTGCAACTACTATGGCACATACATCTTAGTTTCTTTCCTGACAACGCTTGGCATTGTACGCTTTTTGTTTACAAATTCCGTAATTAATTTCATTTTGTCACTTGCATCGGTGGATTCTTTCGATTTGTTTTAAAAAAATGTCTTAGTGAAAATCGTAAATCTATGATAGTATGTCTAATTTTTATCATTGTTCTATTCAATATTATAATTATTTTCTGTAGCATTTGAATCTGTTGGGCTTGCAAATAAAATTACATTTCCTGAAACCTTTTATTTTTACCTTCGCACGATCTAAAGAGAAACTTTACTATCCTGACGTTCAACTGATTAAAGACCGATGGTTGAGCGGTAAGAATATTCCAGAAGCATCCTCCGGGAAAGTGATGTATATACCGTGTTCCCATTTGGTACAAGGTACAGGTAATAAATCAAACGGATTGTATTAGGGATTGTTTTATATTTTCAGTTTTCTCGAACATAGAAAATCAAACAACTGATCTTTTACACAGATTATTAAAATATTAAGTACAATAATATTACGCGATTTTACATATCTCTAAAAAAAAAAATCATTCGTAGTACAATAAATTATTTTTTGAACTTTTACTGGCAAAGAAAATAAATAAGTTCATGATGTCTCACATAAGAGTGAAAGAAAAGGAACAAAGATAAAGTATACTGAAGAACGAATGAAAGAAAGCAGCTGTGTAATAATTCTATGTTCTTCTTCTTTTTTTTTCTTCTTCGACAGTTTTTTCCTCTGCAAAGGATTGAATGCATGAAGAGGACAGTGGACAAGCGAGTTTAATCGACTTCCTCAATGGTAGGTCCACCAGCTGCGCCACCACCAGGAGCACCCGCTCCTGGAGCAGCACCTGGAGGGAAACCGCCCGGCATACCACCAGGCATGCCTCCGGCACCCTGATACAATTTCGTGACGATTGGGTTGCAGATCGACTCCAATTCCTTTTGCTTGTGTTCGTATTCTTCCTTATCAGCCAGCTGATTGGCGTCCAACCACTTGATGATCTCGTTGCATTTATCCATTACGATTTGTTTGTCACTGGCGCTGATCTTATCTTTAAGCTTGTCATCCTCCACTGTGCTCTTCATGTTGAAGCAGTAAGACTCGAGTCCATTCTTAGCAGCGATCGTCTCCTTCTGCTTCTCGTCCTCGCTACGATACTTCTCGGCTTCGTTAACCATTCTCTCGATCTCTTCTTTGCTCAGGCGGCCCTTATCGTTGGTGATGGTGATCTTGTTCTCCTTGCCAGTAGATTTATCCACCGCGGATACATTCAAGATACCGTTGGCGTCGATGTCAAATGTAACTTCGATCTGAGGAACTCCTCTAGGTGCTGGCGGAATACCGCTGAGCTCAAATTTACCTAACAGATTGTTGTCCTTCGTCATAGCACGTTCTCCCTCGTACACCTGAATCAACACACCCGGCTGATTATCAGCGTAGGTGGTGAAGGTTTGGGTCTGTTTGGTTGGAATGGTGGTGTTTCTCTTGATAAGGGCAGTCATGACACCGCCAGCCGTTTCAATACCAAGAGAAAGTGGTGTAACGTCGAGAAGCAGTAGATCTTGTACTTCCTCGGACTTGTCGCCGTGAAGAATGGCGGCTTGTACGGCAGCTCCGTAAGCTACAGCTTCGTCAGGATTGATGGACTTGTTCAACTCCTTTCCGTTGAAGAAGTCCTGCAGCAGCTTCTGGATCTTGGGGATACGCGTGGATCCACCAACCAAAACGATGTCGTGGATCTGTGCCTTGTCCATCTTGGCATCGCGCAGCGATTTCTCTACTGGCTCCAGAGTTCCTCTGAAAAGATCAGCGCAGAGCTCTTCGAACCGAGCCCTGGTGATCGACGTGTAGAAATCGATTCCCTCGTACAGTGAATCGATCTCGATGCTGGCTTGAGTAGACGAAGACAATGTGCGCTTCGCACGTTCGCACGCCGTTCTCAGACGGCGCAGAGCGCGTTTGTTGCTGGTCAGGTCCTTCTTGTATTTACGCTTGAATTCCTGAACGAAATGATTTACCATACGGTTGTCGAAATCTTCGCCGCCAAGATGAGTGTCTCCTGCTGTAGACTTGACCTCGAAAATACCGTCTTCGATCGTCAGAATCGACACATCGAAGGTGCCACCGCCGAGGTCAAAGATTAGGACGTTGCGCTCGTTGGTGGTCTTCTTATCCAGGCCATATGCAATGGCGGCAGCGGTAGGCTCATTGATGATACGTAATACGTTCAAGCCTGAGATGGTTCCAGCGTCCTTGGTTGCCTGACGCTGCGAGTCGTTGAAGTAAGCAGGCACAGTGATCACGGCATTGGTGACGATTTTACCGAGGTACGCTTCGGCAGTTTCCTTCATTTTCACCAAGACCATTGAGCTCACTTCTTCGGGGAAGAAAGTCTTCGTCTCTCCTTTGTACTGTACTTGAATCTTGGGTTTGCCGCTTTCGTTTACGACAGTGAAGGGCCAGTGTTTCATGTCAGCCTGAACAGTTGTGTCATCGAACCGGCGACCGATAAGACGCTTGGCATCTGAAAAGAACAATTATTCAAATATATTAATTTTATTATTCAATGCAGAAGGACGAGTTCCAATTGATTGAATTATATGAAATTAGCGAAAATGGCAAGATGTACGCATACAGTATTTCATTATTACTAATTAAAAATTTTGAAATATAGTTCATTTCTACTACGATAAGAAAATACTTCTTTAGGCTATAAAAACACGGAAAGAAAACACGTCATTCCAGTCATGACCTTAATTCACCTACACGCGCATGCGTGCCTATCTATATACATCGAGGATGTAGGTATCGACCTTCCGCCATCTTCCATTTTCAAAAGTTTCCACGCCCACTTATAAAAAGCTTCTAAAGCAACATTTTTCCATTTAGACGATTTTACATTTCACTGTTCGTTGATTGTTACGATTATTAAAGCGACAAAATTAATTTTTAAATATTTATCGACGAACGACTCATCCTAAATCAATAATTCTGATGGTATATAGATTTTGTTCAGGACTAAATTGCAAATGAGCACACGTGCCATCACAAGAAGGCATTATAGAAATTCGCAAATTCTACAATTATTTCGCAGATTACGAGAAAAGATTATATAAAAAGAAAGCGGGAGGAAGTGTATGAACGGCTAACGGAGGATGTTAAAAATTGACTGCAGACAGACACGAGGATGATTGTACGACATAAATATTTTACGAATAAATGTATATTTACCGAAGATGGTGTTGTTGGGGTTCATGGCAACTTGATTTTTGGCTGCATCCCCGATCAACCGTTCGGTGTCCGTGAATGCAACGTAGCTCGGCGTTGTACGATTTCCTTGATCATTGGCGATGATCTCCACTTTCCCGTGCTGGAACACGCCAACGCAGGAGTACGTGGTGCCAAGATCAATACCGACTGCAGGTGGTTTGGCCATCTTTGCTTTTCTGTAAAATTATAAAACAACGATTAAATCTCTGATGAAAACTGCCGAGTTTGCTTCTTCTTTGTGAACGTTAAAACATCGAAATATGACCGCCGACACGAACGATGACAGACACGCACCTTTCTTTGTTCTCTTCTTTGAAAATTCACTTGGAAAAAGTTCGCCTCGTAGGACAGTGAAGAAGTTCTTCGCTTGACGATTCGCAACGTGAGTGAGGAACACGGCCCCGGAACCCGGTATATATCACTTTCCCAGAGGACGCTTCTGGAATGTTCTTCCCGCTCAACCATCGGTGTTTAACCAATTGAACGTCGGTTTCCATTTGGCCCACGAGGCGATTGGCCACGGAGCAGTAACTACGTGCGTCAACGTTGGGATTTTTTGCACTATCGATCCATCCGACGTTGCTTTGTTATGTAGTGAATATTTAGAATCAAATGTCATTCGTTCTTATAAAAATTGATTGGGGCTTCTAGAATAGTTATTAGGCGTAACTGAGGTTTTCACGAGATAATATTATGAAATAGATTCCTGCTGAACGATACGGAAGTGGAGCGCAAAGAAGTTACAGCCAAGTTTTAGCCAATTCTAAAAGGTGTGGGGTTACACGCACACAAAGATAAGTGAGTCTACGCCTATGCATGACTATGGACAGTTAATGTTTCAAGGCTCCTTAATTCTTTTGACTCTTATAACTTTCCTACCATTTATTTTTTTAGTTAGCTTTAGCATTCAGCAAAGAAAGAATGAATATTTCATGACACCCAACGTCATCAGAAATATAGCTTATCTTACATTAAATATATAAGAACGTTGAATACTATAAGTGCAATGACGTTTAATCATTAATGAATCACGATGTTGTATCATCGCATGACAATAAATTTCATCAGCCAGTTTGTGGAATATTCTACCTCGCTACCTTGTCCCTCGATACAATCTTTTCCTTTGTTACATTTTAACTAAAACACTCACATTTGAATATTTCGAATCTCATTTGAATAATTTTGAATGTTTAAAGTATAATAAGTTCTAATCTTAAGAATGAAAGTAAGCGAAATCATTTTTTAGAGATCGAACCATGTAGCTTTGTGGTGATTCGTGATTTTATCAATTTCCGTTACTACACGTGCTTTAAAGAGTCTTCACATACATATTACTCCTCACACTTGACTATGACGCACGTATGTATATATATATATATATATATATATATATGCTATGATCGTGATTCTTCAAATAACTGAAAATATGTACAAGTTAGGAATGCCGTTTTAGCAACTGAAATTAACGATGATGACAACTAAACAAGTTGTCTACACCGAGCATCGTTTTGCTGAAAAATTAATCGCACAGGCATTAAAATGTATACTTTGTTGTTTGATACGACATTTTATTTAGAGAAGGCTGATATGTCTCATGCTTTTATCTGTCGACACATCGGTTTCATGAAATTTCTTGAAAATTTTCTCAGAATGCAGCTTATGTGATAAAGCACGAAACCAACGACCATAACTAATTGCGGTAAAGTTCGCGAACTCTGTAGAAACTTCCAACCAGCTAGTGCATGCGCTCGATACGCTGTTAATTATGAGTGTGAGAAAATCTCCAGTCATACGTTACACACACACACGTTTTAACGCCTATGAAAGCATGTTTGTCGATGTATGCATGTATGTACGTTTTCATAATGCACACGAACACGTAAGAGATTAATAATGATTCTCAGGTAAGATATAACTTTGATATCGATCGAAAGTCCCACCCTCCCAATTCGCTTCAGAGACTTTTCGTTCAAGTCAAAAATATGTTCTTTATATAAATGATTTTTCGTATAGCAACAATTTATAACGTTCGTATATTATAACTGTTTCGTACGAATGAAATAAAGGTACGTAAATAAAATACGAGGGGTAGGATGAGAATTTTCGAAGGATTTTCGTGCTCATTGTAAGGCTTCCATCTGCTAAAGCTGATGGGTAGGTAGTAAGTAGACAAAGGAAAGGAAACGGTTATTGCCAGGTGTAAAACGTTTGAAAACGTTTTAACGGTCTTCTGAACATTGCCAGGGTCTCAAGCTCAAGGGCCATATCGACTGCACAGCTATCCAAAACGATTCCCAACCGTCAGTTTGGTGTGCACACGTGCAAAAATTAAATTTTCATTATGCAATATAAATGCTATGATAATTGAGCTTATGTTTATGTAAGAATGTTTCTTCCTGCGTACATCTTTTAAACAAGATATTTTTCATATCCAAAGACGGCAAACATTTTGTTGTCTACGTAGAAAGGCTCATAGGTTTATACAGATTTATTGTTACACATCTGTGCAAAAATGATATTCTTATCAGGTAGAGAAAGTAATGGAATATTGATTTAGTAGAATAACTTCTGTTGATAACGAATAAAACCTTTTTGAAGTGTGAGAGGGCGTTCGATGTTTCATTACAGATTGTGTTGTGCGTTATGCAGTGAAATTGGCATTTGAAATAAGCTTTATTCTTAAACAAATTAAGCGGTTATGATTCTGTGTTTAATGTACTGACATAAAAGATTTTTGACGAAGAACATTGAATATAAACAGGGATTTGACTGTGTAGAAGTATTTACTTAGAAGTATGTAACGCTTAGCTAACCCTGATATTGTTTAAGTTCATCGTCAACGAGAGAGAGCGTGAACCTAGCGTGTTTATAAGTTTCCCAAAAAATATTGTGCGATATATTAATAAAGGTATTATCATGGCATTGTGCGAACTTGATAATTATGTATTATATGTATTAATTACATAAATATGTGTCGTATGCTACTATACTTTAATGGTACAAAGAATATGTTCCGGCACTTTGTTTCGTAAAATGAAACGATGAAAGGGTGGTCTATCTGTCTAATCAACAGACCAACTTAAAAGAAACTTATTTAAAACGCATTCAATCATGTGGAAAATCCATTTTACATGTTACATGAACGAAGCTAGATTTTTGTTATCGTCCAGTTACCATCAATAACCCAGGCTAGCAACAGGTCCAATTTTTCAATGTTGTTCCTGTCTAGTCCTGGAGCCAACCGACTGTGTCATCTGCTATGCATTCAACAGTTCTAATAATATATTATTTGTACAATGTGCTCATGGATGTATATAATAGGCCCCAAACTGCTAACACTAATGCAAATGTCCAATTTTCGTTGCCATTTTTCAAATGGTTCCAAATTGATTGGACTTTGGGCTCATTGGTGAAAGTGGTGTGGCCATACAACGCGCTTTATATTATTTAATCCATGGGTTGTTTTATCCAGAGTTTGTGTTTATGCTTAAACGATAACTCTAGCATTAAAATGTTAGATTTAATTATTTGCTTGCTACACGCAAATTAGTTAAATCTTCGATAAAATAAAGTGTTATGTGCAAGCATGCGTCTTGATTAAACTTTTATACGTTACTGGTTGTTGAATCTTACAGTATTTTAGTACATCTTTATTATACAAATAATGGATGCGGATAAAGAAATGCCTCAAGAAACATCGGAATCGAACATGGTGCCCCCAAACGAAGATATAAGCGAGAATGCCTTCGATTACCAGTACTCAAGTATCAAGACAGAAATAAATTCGGATAGTCAGATGTCAGATAGAAGCTATTTCAGTACGGCAGTGAAGGAGGAAACTGCCTTCGCTGATGACACGAATATATATAACAGTCCCACTAGTGAAAACTGTATAATGGATTGTAGTAAAACAGACAGTATTGAAGCTCCCGATGAATTGCGGCAGTTTGATGTTCTCGATGATCTGGAGCATAATCCAGATCAGAACTGCTCTGATATGGAGTCTGAAAGCGTTGAGAGTATAGACACTGATGTACCTGATGAAGAAATTGAGGCCATGCTTGAAGAAGGTAAATCTTGATCTTTAGAAATGTTTAGTTATCGCAATAAGTTCTACAATATCTTTTCCACCAGGTAAAGTATGAAAGATATTGATAAAGAACGTGTTCTAGTATATATATGTAAGTCATCGGATCACAGATTTCTTTAGTTAAGTATTATGTACTAGGTTTACCAGATGAGTTTAAAAGCAAACGAAAAGACATGAAGGATCACGTACCATACGAAGAGAAAGAGAAGCTTGTCTTGGACGGTAACGAATCAAATAATTATTCTTGTAAAGGAGTGATCAAATGTTATTTTCATTAATGTAATTTTTTATGCAGAAATTGGACACAATCATTTTGACGTGCTTCCTGAGGGGTGGGTACAGGTGACACACAATAGCGGGATGCCCTTATATTTGCATAAACTGAGCAGAGTTTGTACTCTCGCAAAACCCTATTTCCTCGGACCCGGTAGCGTAAGAAAACATGAAGTTCCTGTCAGCGCGATTCCCTGTCTTCAATACCAAAGAGCTCTTCGAGAAGAGGAAGAAGAACGGAAGAAACAGAAGGATCGCGATCCGAGCGTAGAGACTTGTAGTCTCCCGAGTGCCAAGATCGAAACGATACAAGAGAACCGAGCAGCTCATTCATTAGATAGTGAACAATTAAGAGAATATTGCCAATCGCTGTTCCGCTTTAAATCTATCAAAGTAATGAGGTTCCAGTAAGTATACGTTAAACGTCATCGTATATTATGCTACAGATGTTTATAAAAATCTTTGATCGCTGTTTAGATCGTGGTCGGCAAGAAGAAAATTCACGAAGAATAAAAAGCATCGTAAGCAGCTTGAACGGCCAACTTTGCCCGATGGGACGAAGCTAATAACATTCCCAGTCAGTAGTTCCGGTGTAGCGGGTAGTAGCGGTCACACTGGTGATGACAGTAGTGGGCAAAGACCTCCTAAGCATTGGATAATGAATCCCTCTGGCAAAAGCTACGTTTGTATACTACACGAATATGTACAACATGCACTTAAGAAGCAGCCGACTTACAAATTTAAGGAGTTGGGTAAATATCAGAAAGAATACCGTCAATGCTATCCACTAAACTAAAACATCTTAACTAATCCATCATACATTGTATTGATTTTTCTTGATCATAGAAAACGCGGCCACACCATATTCTGCTGTTGTCTGTATAAATGATATGGAGTACGGGAGTGGTTTCGGGAGTAGCAAGAAACAAGCGAAAGCTAACGCTGCCCGAAAGACACTTGAGATTTTAATTCCACAAATGAGAGACAAAATATCTGGTGATAATAGCAATGACACGGCGTCCGGCAACAACAGCCGAATGATTAAGGCATCTAGGGCTAACTCCGATGCAGATTTATCGTTTTTCGATGAAATATCAATCACGGACCCACGAGTTGCCGAGTTCTGCGCTAAAACAACGGAACCGTCACCGCATGCTATTTTAATTACCTGTCTGCAAAGAAATTACGGTCTGGGCGACATGCACATCAAGTACTCTGTAAATACGCTAAAGCATCAGCGCAATGAATTTACGATGCGTGTTGGAAAACACGAAGCCACTGTCGTAAGCAAAATTACAATCGTTTTGATTTATTTCTTAGTTTATATTTAGTATATCTCTCTAAAATCTTATTTTCTCAAATCATTTTCAGGTGTGCCGCAACAAGAAAGATGGTAAACAACGTGCAGCCCAAGCCATTCTGCAACTAATGCATCCTCACATTCAATCTTGGGGTTCCCTGTTAAGGCTGTACGGATCTCGTAGTGTGAAATCTTTTAAAGAAAAGAAACAGTTGGAACAAGAGATCACGCTGTTGCAAGGCAAGGCCGCTGTGAATCAACCGAATCACGCTATATTGAGCAAGCTTAGGCAAGAGATGCGGAAATTGGCGGAACAGAGGCAAGCGATTCAACCTATCGGTAAGTTCGTACCGCTCGATTTGCCAACCGGATCCGCTGCTAACTTAAACAACGTGGACTTATAACGTGCTAGTCAACATTTTCATATGGGTACTGATGTATCTTGTAAGATTTTCAGCGAGATTTCTTTCCATACATTTAGGGTTTCATGTGTAACGCACAAAGTATTTTCTACGTGTAACGTTTCTAGTGTAAACATGAAGTAGACTTCCGAATGGTGCTAATTTATATCAACTATTATATTCAGTTTTTATTTTTTATGTAAAAATGTAATTTCTTTGTGACCGATCTGATATCTGTAAGGCCGATAACTAAGTAACGATTGCGCGTGTGTGTGAGAGATACAGAGAGAAAATAAGAACCCGAGGCAGATAGACCTAAGAACAATTTTTTAAGATACAACTGATCGCTGAAAAATGAAAAGAATACGGGTGAAGTACTACCTCACTCAATCGATTAATAGTACACAGTGCGAGAATTAATATTAGACACGTAAGTTATTGGTTCAAATTTGTGCTATGATTAGAGTGCATCATAAATGACATAATAGTAAATGGAAGGTAATCGTATATTCTTAGAGAACTGATTACAATAAAGTATACTTCCGGTCTATAAGTGTTAAGGCATCAACCGCTAGATATTTGTTATTAGTAATAGTTACAATGTGTTCAAACGGGGTTTAAAGACAAGGGTAAATTAGATTTAATACGGTATAAATAAATTTTAAAATAAAATAGCTAAATCGTATGCTAGATTTCATAGATATGTACATTATTTCAATAATTGTATCCACTTGTTCGCTTTGGCACTTTATATCATCTTTTTCTACATATCACTATTAGTTTCAATTCTGCTATTTTTATGAACTCAAACTTGCCTTCGGGTCGCTACCGCGTCCCTCGAGATACTTTGCTAATCATCTAACAATCTTCTTGAGAACGAAATTTTCCTATAGTCGGACTATTGTGATGTTTCAGTAGAAAATACAAATATTAATCTTCAGGTTTTGTATGCTCGAAATTATATAGATTTTCTCTTTCTTAATCGTACATAAATAAAGCCATTGTTTGTCTTTGTAACAATGCAACACCGCGATACATACAGAAATGTTTCCTTACATAACTTAAAGATTATACTATGATATAGCAGTAGGAATATAAACTTAGCAATGTATTTTTTAATAACATGAAATGCAGAAATTTTTTAGAAGATCGTTTTGCGACGATGATTAGCTTAGAATTTGTTGTACTCGTAACGTATTAATAAACCACAACTAATATACATTATATTGCAAACAAATTTAGTGTATAGTTTTATGAACTTCTGCGCCGAAGAACGTATTAACTTAGTCTAAGATAAATAGATTTACTTAGTAGGCACATTTTAATAGGACCAGAATTGTAATAATATTAACAGATTATACGTAAACGGAACATATCTTTATTATTATAAATTAAATATCTATCAACCTTCATTTAAAAATATAACTTAAGTTACAGATATGTTTTACAGTTACTTGTAACTTAAGTTACAATAAGTTCTTCCCCTGTTAGCCAATCCTGCGGTGTTAAATTTGAAGCAGGTTCTTCTCTATAAAGAATATGTGCACAGATCGGCATCAAATTGGTAGCAAATGCTGATACTGCATTTCCGATCTGCATACATTTTCCTAACAGGGTCGTTAACGTTTAGATTTCATTCGCACCTTCTCATTAAGTGAAATTCATTTCTGTATGAATGTTTCAACAATATAAGTAGTATTACCAAATTTCCGTTTCTAATCAAATACATATTATAGTCAACATTAATGATAAATGTTTTGATTTTAATTCACGGAACACTATGACAATTACTACTGTTTAATGTGCTTTAATGATTGGATGTGAATATCTTTGATGTCATGAATGTCTTTCACGTAAATGCTACTATAATCCATTTTCATATCGTTATGTATATATATTAATATCCTTTTGTTAATTCATAATATATTATTCTAAATGGGTAACTATATTCGTCATTTCCAAATGTTATTTACAATCTACGTAAATACGACGTTTACTATTAATTTTGACATCGATACGTAATGGCATAAATCATAGAAAAGTTAAATTCATTTCAGTACGAAAGTTTATACAAAACACGCATGATTACACTTTAGGATCTAATCGAACTCCTTGGTGTATTTGAACGTAATCAAAACGAAGAACGAAGGCGTAAAAATGTAGATGTTTCAAAAAGTATTAATTACTTTTACATGTATAATATCTTACATTCATTGTAACATTAAGCATTTTATATTGGTACCGTCAGTATATCCTACTTATCACTATCTTTGAAATTTCACTCGTATTATTACCTAAATAAAACGGGAAAACAAGTCGAAAACTTTCACATGTGAACAAGTTAAAATTCAATCTCGTCACTAGATATACTGTCATGTACTAACTATGTAATAAAAAACTGCTATTCGTATTTTTGCACAAGTCGAGTGAATACCGTGTAACTTCGTAACATTACAATCTCATATGTCATATACCAATAAAAATGATGAGACACTACTAGTATGTATCATTGTCAACATTTCTAACTTTGGAGGCACGTCAATTTAATTTTAAACATAAGAACGTGTATATATATATTATATTTACTTCGTTTTTTAGACCATTGTAAATGTTCGATATATGTAATGTTGCATACACGTCTTTTGACTACGTTTTTCTATTCATATTTGATCAGTCGTTTAATAATTTAAGGGAAACGTATTCACGTTACTTTTAAAACAGTTCCCGTGTCGATAAACGAAATGCATCAGTATGTAAATGCAAGGACTTTATGCCCGATCAATCTATACTGGGCTTTGAAAATAATTTGTGAAACCATTATACGGATTCGTCGTACGTACTGTTCCCAGATAGGGCCATCTTCGACAAACTGGACAGACTTCGTCGCGGGCTGCTACCAACTAAAAAACTGCTGCTCGACTCTGAGAATATTTTCCGGAAGCTGAGAAGCAAACATGAACGTTAAAATCTGGAAAATCTCTTTTGATTTATTTACAATTTACGCGTTTGAAATTCTCTCTCGATTTACTTACAACTTCCGAATTCCAGATTCCGAAGACTTTTTCCAGGGTGCATCATCTGGTTCATATGGAAGAGGGCCTTGAACAGGGGCATCTTCTTCAACCCTGCGGAAATACATACATAGTAATCACTTAAATACATAACTATGTTCTTGAAGGTACGTACGGTTCGGGTTTCGGTCGATATAATTCCAGTTCGTCCTCTAGATCGGACACTCTGGCTTTTAATTCGTTTCGTTCGTGTAAAATTTCTTTCAACTCGGCGGTGGTGAACCTGGGCCTGTCGGGATCGTCCAGGTCGTAAACAGCCTTGTTCGTTAAATCAGGGTAATTCTGAACTTTGCTCAAGTCCTCGTTCTCTTTTCTCGCCAAACCGAGGCGAGCTCGGAGATTTATTAGTTCGCGATTTTGATCTTGTAACTGGGCCAAGAAATCCGCTCTCTCCTCCACCAAGCCTCTGGCTTGCATCTGCGCTTGGCGTTGTTTTCGTTTCAATTCACGGCCGACGACCCCGAGTTTCTCGACTTGTGCAGTTAACTGTGTAAAATCGAACAATCCATCAAAATAAATCAATATTTCAACGGTACAAAGAGTTATAAATTATTTTAAGTACCAATTTACATTTTCTAATTCCATAGTTTTCTGTAGCATCTCTTTGTCCCTTCCTCGAATCTGCTCCCTTTGCTTATCTATCATCGATCTCAAGTGTTGCAACACTGCTACATCAACTTCCTGACTAGCTGTAAAGGCTGAAAGCGCATTCACTGCTCAATAATCTAAATACATGTGCAATAACGATATTTCCGGCATTGTGTTAGTAGGAAAAAGATTGTTAGTACTTTGTTTATTGCTGTACTGACTATCACTACGTGATTCTTGTAGAGCCTCTGACAACCGTCTGTTCTCTTCTTGTAATCTATTAACCATTTCTACCAGGTCTCGAGATTCTTGACGCCAGTGCTCCTCAATTTGTTCCAGTTCCTATAGTAATTAAGCATCTTTAAAGATCAAAGTAGAAACTAAATAAACGCACATTTAAAATTGATTTTAATTCATTTTTAGAATTAAGATACCTTCTCAAATCTCTGCCTGTCCTCGGCTTTACCAATCTTATCATTCTCCAACTGTGATATCTTTGAGCGTAACTCCTGAACTGTCGTATTCTCGCGTTCATTTTTGGTCGCAAGATTTTCTAATATCTCTAAAGCGTGTATTACTTTTGGCATTAAATTAGTCACAGATTCAACACCGTACGAATCTATGAGCTTCTCGCATTCCTTCCCTATCTCAGATGCAATGTCATAAACGTCTACAACTGATATCTCAGACGCTACAGCATATTCATCCATGTTACGGGTTGTATAATTTTCCAAACAAAAAGGCATGAATACTTTTGATATCACAATCTTATTCGCGAACGTGCTGAAAATAAAATATGTATTATATGTAAATACCATCGGTTTAACATTGTAATTTTAATGTGTCGATGAACGTACGTCGCTCTAGTTTCATTTAAATGACATTATAATACCTTGAGCTACGATTAAACGGAGGAATCCGACAATATTAATTAATTATTACCGTTGCACCTTGCACCGAATGTAACACGCGTTTTCCTACTCATTTGTACGGGAACAAATGCGAACAGAACTTGCCGCGTACAAGTGTTAACAAACGGGATGCATACATCGACGTGACAATTAACGAGCTAGAGAATTATGAGATCACGACGATTATTCACGCTCGCAATGCTTATGTCAAATTCCACTTTGAGCTATACCGTGGTAGTGGTGCAGAACACAGAAGGGGGCCTATTTTTAATACGTATGTGTGCACTTCATAGCTTCATACACAGAAACAACTTTCTCACGGGCACCGGTACGATTATAAGTTCCAAAGAAGCGATTAATTTATACGGGAGAAGAAATTAAATGAGCGAAAGATTGACTATTGCCGATTAAAAGTATGTACCCTGATTTATCCTCAACCATTTTTGCGAACTATACATTCCATCGGGGAATGTTGATTAAAGCGACACACCGATTGGACCGTTCCAATCGAACAAATACAAATTTATTTCGGTTGTTCAATAGCTGAAGTAGAGAAGAATTCCACCCGATTATTTAGATTCTTGATTTTGTGAAATGGAAGGTCAAGGAGTATTTGTGGAACTTATGCTCTGAGGGAAATGGAGTCTTTAAAGTAATCATTATCGAAACATTTCGTATATATAACATAATAGGTAATATATTTTATACTATATTCTCATTCGTAATGCATCTTTTACATGATTAACACCTTTTCAATCTTTCGTTATAAAATAATAAAACAACCAAAATAATGGTTTTCATAAATTATCAAATAGTACATAATTTATTACAGCAAAAGATTGTAACATGATCTCGTAACAAAATATATAGTATATATATTTTATTTCATTTTATTTTAGCAATCTTTAGTGTCAACAAGTTAAAACAATAAAATAAATTATAAAATAAATATTAAATTATCTTGCCGAAATTATAATTTCGTTTGAAAATACTGCATGTCTTCTGTATATGTAATTTGCAGGATACAAAATGTACTTGATAATCCTTTATCGATGTGCTAATAAAATGATACTGTAAAATCAGTATCGCCTGGACAGAATTGTATTAAATATTTGTTGACACATGCACTACGTTCAAACATTCGAAGCACATTTTATTATATCGATACAAAATCAGAGACAATTTTTAATCGAACTGATACACATAAAAAGTTGTTCAACGAAAATCAGTGTTCCAGAGGCTTATTTTAATATCACATTGCGACAAGTAATTTATACGAAATATATATAAATTTTAACGTGATAAGAAAATAAAATGCCTTTTTTTTAAACAAAGAATACATAATTCCCTGTCAATCATTGCTTTTTATTGCGTGCCAAAAGTTGCACTTACATTGACTTGGGATTTGTTAATAAAAATTGAGCTGCAACAATTTTGGCATTAACAATTGAATTCCGATATGTCACTGACAAGTGTATTCTCCTCGGTAGTAGAGAAGTCGATTTATAAAATGAAACGCCTGTTACGTCCAATTTTAACAATGTAAAATTTGTTCGGTGTCCTAGTTTAAAGAAATTCGTAACTTCATGTTTATATAATACTTTGTGCTATCAAGTTCTTTTTTATATTATATTCGTGGATATATATTAATCGGTAATTGCATAACTTTGTCCATATATTAAATTAAATTAAGTACGCTAAAAACAGGCTGTGTATTTATCATACATTATGCATTGCTAGTCGGTGCGAAATTTATAAATATATTCATGCGCTGCGTTCCTCTCTTTGAATAAAATTCATTTGTTAATAAGCTGTAAAAACATTTGGAACAATTTCCGAAATGTAATATATCAAGCGATTGGCACTTTCGTTCGTTCGTCAATACATTTTTCAACTATTTTTAACAATTATTGCAAAGGGATTGCAAAGGGATCAGATTTTAATATACATGATAAACTGTTATTAAATTGGTTAATACGTATATATATCGTATAGGAAATTGCTCTAAATGTCAGTCTTTATGGTACGATTCGGCCGATGTGTCATATAAATGTTAATAGCGTCTATTAAATATTTTGTTCCTAAACATAATTTTAACGTAAATGATGTTTAAAACGGACGATATTAATCGAAGCATAGCGATCTACAATTCTCCACTCTAATCCCTAAATCTGATTATATGTACAAATTGCAAAATAAAATATTTTGCAGCGATATCCTCTCTCTATCTTTACATTATATACTCGATAACTCCGGATAAACATTTCGAACACCGTAATATAATTTATTATACGTAAGTCTAGCAGTATCACATATTACCTTGTTAAAACCCTGTAAAAAATATGTTTTCAGTGCAAAGTTACTCCATTATCAACTGAATTTTAATTTGTGTAGTTCAATCGTCTTACGTATTAAACTTTCAACTCCAAATTACTTGTAAGTGACATGATGGCATGTTCCTGCGTGATAGCGGCTAATTCTTTTAGCCATTCGTCTAATATGACCGCGCATAAAACCACGTTTTGTACTGGACTTACTTCCTTTGGAGATTCCCAGGACGTTTTCGTATAATACCTAATTTGTAAATAATTTCTTATTATCATCTTCTAGTTATTTATTCCAAGAAAATCATCATGTATACAATGTCAATTTACCGGTATCCAGAACCGTGTCCGACCGCTTCTAATTGGCGTTCTGATATACCACTCGGCTGATTAAGGATATTGATCGAATTACTTGGACTGGAACTTGCACTTGACCTTCTAAGCATTTGCGTAAAAGATGACGTTATACTCCATCTCTTGCTCTCACCTTAAAAAAATAATAAAAAAGATTTCTAAATATCCTTGTTGACTTCGAATATCATTCGCTTCGAGAGGACTGTACATACATCGTTTGAACACTTCCAGAATGCATGAAATAATGCTAATTTGTATTCATAGAAATAAAAGATCGAACTTCAAATAATAATTAATGAATAAATTATACCTCTTGAGAATGGTTCTCCGCTCAAAGAATTTCGTTTATAAGATATAGAATGGGCGGCAGCTTCTAACGCATTCTTCCTCGCATTGACTAATTTATCTTCTCGGTTGATTAAAAATAACCGAGCTTGCTCTACCAACGCGTCCACGTTATTATGCTGCGAGAGGAACTGATCTATCTTATGTTTTAGCGATGCTAGAACCTAAAGGAAGTTCAATTATTTTACAAGTTCGCACGTAGATACCTTGTTAATGGAAACGTCGCAATTACGAACCTGAAAAAGCGACCTAATACTTGGTTGAAACACTAGAGAATGATTCAAGAGAAACGACTGTAACAGGGGTTGCGGGTATATTGCGAGTCTACTGATAAGACCAGTTAGGTGTAGATTAACGTATAAATTATTACTTGTCATACATTCGAGCTTTCGTAAAAGAATATCTAAAAATATGCCGACGTTCGGTTGTCCGTTAAACACGTCTTGACGGAAGCTTTCCTTCATTTGTTTGTTCGCTGTTAATTCTTCCGGTGCGTTCGAACCCGACTCTATAATGCTGTGAAGAAATTGTTCCTTGCCTGACGCGAGCTCTGTTTCTTCGTGCTCGCTTATTCGATCCTCGCTAGGTTCATTGTCCGGAGTCGACTGCGACGACCCTTTGAACGCGAAACTTTCGTACCCGCTGCTCTCTCCCAAAGATAACAGCGAATTCATTGCTGTGTTCGAATCGTCGATGCCACTGTCAAGTTCTTTTTTATCTATTAACTCTTTAACCGATTCCGAGACCCCAACATTTTCATTCAACAATTCAGCAATGTCCGCATCTAATTTCGTTTGTTCTTCTAACGATAATTCTATACCCGTCGCCGGAGTTTCTTCTGATTTCTCTTCTTTTTCTATCACACTGAACTCCTTCCCGTCTAGCAAAGTTTGTATATTAACTAACGTATTGTCTACTGACGGACTTTCGCCGCTCTCATTGAAGTGCGTCGATTGCTTCAATGTTTCTAACGATAAAGGTTTAATCGTATCGGTTTTCTTCTGCAATTGATCCAACAATGTATTGTCATCGATTAAAGTAGTTGCGCTACTGGTGGTGCTGTCTCTCGGCAGTTCTCCGTTGTACTGGTACGACCAAGTGGAACAGGCGATTCGACAGGCCTTTATCTTTTGCCGAGCATCGCACAAATACGCGTGATAATTACCATACAAACTGTCGGACAATCTGACACCATAATTTACGGACGCTGGCAATGATTTCAAAGAGTCAGATTGGCTGCCCGACTGTTTCTCGGGCGTTGAGCTATTCGGTAAAGAGGTGAACTGAGAGTTGACAGACGCGAGTGGCGAGCAGCAGCTTGGCGTCAACGAGAGAAACTTTTCAGCCGCCCGTCCGAAAGGATCTATGTCCCTCAGCCTTCTACGTTGAGAGAACATTACGTGGGAACAAGGGCTTAATGCGCCTAGACACAGTTCTAGCATGATGTCCTCGCAGTTCAAATTGACCAACGTTTCGAATAGTCCCAACGTTACAATACACAGCTAAAACGTGATGACATAATAAATATTATACTGCGCTACATTATTTTTTGTGACTGAAGCATGCACATTAAAACTGTACCCGTGATCTAGAGGATATTCTTTGAATAAGACTATCCAATATCCTGCATTCGTCGTAATTGTCCTCGAGCAAAAATCTAACGAGCGAACGCAAGAGACCGGGTTCCGTTACAGAACGAAGAAATAGATCGAAGTACGCTGTTGCTGCGACTAATTCATCCACTGTCGTCTGGAAATTATTATTCAGTTTTTAATGCACAATAATATGTACTTTGAATAAATAAGCATAATACTTAATAGCTTTACAGTTTGATATTAATGTAATTTTGTGGTAAAAGAAGGATATTAGTATTCACAAACGTATTAATGGTAAATTAATTTGATTAGAAAGAAGCGCACAAACGATTTTCTACAATAATAGCAAGACAGTGCAAAGAGAGATAAGCATAATGACGATGATTTCTCCAGGAAGGAATTGAAGCTGTGCAAAAGAATTCAATACACATTTTTGAATAAGAAGCAGAAATACGAAGCAATAAATTAAGAGCAGTTTAAATAGTATTATTCATATGATACCCTGGTTGTTATTAAGCATTCCTTTCCTCGTTAATTATATAGATTTATAGTTTACTGAAATGTTAAATAGTGATCAAACTTGCCGCACTAATTATAGCGTTTCGTACTAACCCAGTGCTCTTGTGCATCTAGCTGTTCTACGGTCAAACCAATCGAATCCTGAGCATCATAAAAAAAAACGTCACCAAATAGCCACAGACAATTGTATAGCAACGTAATTACTTAGGTTCTATTAACATTTACCATCACCGTACTGATTACATTTATTAAATAAGTACATATCTGCGAAAGTCCGAAACATCACCTTTACCTTATATTTAAATAAACAGTTCGCAAGTACCTTCTTTCATCACGTGTGTGTGTGTAAGGTAAAAAGATATTGAAATATAGAGTAATGTATTAAATTAGAATGTAGGCAAACCTTTTACCTTGACAAAATAACGACAAATACAGGTGTACATTTATACTCACTTGTAACAAAGCTGGCCCCATGACAGGCACCAGGAAACCATGATATAAAAATTCTAATAACTGTTTTTGTACTAAGGGATGTGCAACTTGTGCGACAGCGTTACAAAAATCCAAAGAATTCATTAGATGCATTAATGCTGGCAAATCGTTAACGTCGTCCGGCGTCAGCTGGTACCAATCGTCTGTTTCGATATCTAACTTTCTTGGCAACAATGAATATAATCCACTCAAGCCTGTAGCTAATACCTGATTAGAAACATATTTTATTAAATAATACATGTAAGAAATTGATAGTTTTTCTAACTTTTTACGAACGATACTTACGGGACATATGTTAGAATGATCGGCAATGTATAATCCCACTTCATCATTCTTTTTGGACAGAGACATGCAAAGTAACATAGAGTCACGTGCTTGTTGTCCCACTGCACCTTCTCTATGCACGTATGGTATCAATAATGTAAAAATAATAAATCTGAAGAGATTGAATAATGATTAGAATTATTATAGGAGGTGTAGCATTGGTTATATATTACACGATACTAACTTGCTTTTCCCTACTGCTGTCGGATGGAAGAATAAATCGAGCAATGCTAAGTTTTGCATTAAAGCAACGCACAATTGATTTAATAAAACTACTAATTTCTCTTCTACTTCTAATGGCATAATATCATTTGAACAATCTTCGAGTAATCTCAGCAGTGGCCTGGCAACTGGTTCATGGGCAAGAAGAGCGCCACTGTGAGATACTAAAAGCTCATACAATTTTAGTTGTTCTAAACGGACAGCATTATTATATCTGAAATGTAACAATTTGAATGTTAGAAACAAAATGTTATAGCTTTCCAAAATGAAGTTCCTACCTTCCACTATTCTTATTCCAATCGTAAAGTTTATCAAGGAGGTTTTCGCTTAATAAATATTCCAAACAAGGTGAGTGTGTAGCTGTTGTAGATTGTCTATAATTATTGTAAAAGTTAGAACCCCTCAGCTCTAAAACTAGTAGAGTTACCATTTGATCTACATGATTAACAACTCCGAGAACGTCGTCCTGATTACGTATTCCTTTGGGCGGCTGTAAGAGTGCAACGAAATTAAGATTCTTCATGTGTCACGATCGATTGTTGCAAGAGAACTTTGATCTTTGTTGACGCATCGAACTTACAGATGTGCGCAATATGATTTCGTGCGCTTGCTGCCAGTGTTTACAAAAACTGTCATAACACGCCGATGGATCAGCATCTTTCGGCGGCGAGTCTCTGGACCGTTGCTTGGTGAAGCTGGTCCTTAACGGACTATTTCGTAACCAGCTCATCTTTCTTTTATATCTTATCTGCTGCCACTCGCATCGGGAACACGACTTCGCGCATCCTTCCTCGTTGAACGTCTCTCATATTACTACCTAATTGTCATGTAAAGTGTTGCCTGCACCTTCCCGAGCTTCAGATAACCGAGCTATCCTGTCAAAATTGTCCTACTTGTCGCGATTAATCGGCTACCTACGCGGCAAGGACACCATGATAAATACAAACTGCATATGTATGTATATTTATCAAACCGAGTTGCGCATTAAGGTACCTTTCCATTCCACACAATGCTTCGTTTTAGCCATAGAACTTACGATACGTATGAAGAAGCAACTGCTGAACTGATGCGAAAAGCAGTGATCCAGCACAGGGAAGGATTGAGAGAGAGACAGCTATATGTATTTCTATCTTTATTCTGACCTAACTTCTATCGATCAGTATTATTCAGTATCAGTATATATATATGTATAGGAGTAGAAAAATGAGATCCTTCCTCCCCTTCGCCGCCGTGGTGCGAGCGCGTCAGCGAGGTGATCCAGAATCCAGACATCCAGATCGAACGTGCGATTCGAGGAAGTCCAAGAAGATCGAGCAGACCGAGCAGAGTTCCTCCGTGCCTTCGCTCAATGTTATCTAATTTGAAAAGTGCAGTTGTGCAACTTGGAATTATCTTTTATTATGGAGCCTAGCAATGCAAACTAGAATTAAGCATTGAACCTCGTCGCTTGCACGGATCTATTATCTAGCAAACTCACGGCACCAGTATCGTTCGGATGACGCCACGGTTGTTTCGTATGAAAAGTATGAAAATTTTTCAGCATTTATATTTAAATATAATTGATACACATTTGGGAAATAACATAAGATTCCTTCGTACAGGCTTTTATTATACAGAATACCATCATTATTACAAACGATATAGATTATTGTTACTTAAAAGCTATATCAATTATTACACAATTTTTTTCGATTAGGAACAACGCAGTAGTTTAAAAAATAAAATTTATCTAAAATGGAAACGGGGTTTTGAGTCTTTATTGAGATCTTGCTTGCTACTATATTAGAATGAACTGATTGTTTAACAAATTTACCTTTCAGCTATGTTAATAGTTATACATCATTTCATATATATATTTATATACATATATTACATTAGTTCGCTATAAATTAAAACACAATAGGTACAAAGTTAGTAACTTCGTACATTGTTCTAACTTCGATTACAATTTTCACAATTAGATATTTTCAAATATCACCGTCAAGCATATAATTTCGAAATAGACAAACAATAAATTAAAAATTTGTTTAGTATTCAAATACCGAGGTCCCCTAACGTCTTGTTAATTTACAATAAATTAATAACGTCCATCGCAATAACGTTTCTTTGTCATGTAGTAAAGAACCTTGTAAAGTATACAAGAAATAAGAAATAATACTAGAACACGTTTACTTGTATGTCGTAGAAATTGAATTTTGGCACAGTACTGAGAAAACAGTCAATTTTGTCCATTAATAAAATATATTAAATGGATAATGTATATCTTGTAGTCCACGGTAGAAAGAGATCCTTACAAAAGATGATCGTACTATAAAAAACACTATCTAACATCCTTAGAAAATAAGTCCTATAAATTGTCTCAGATAAAAGACTATTAGGCATCGCTTAAGACTTAAATACCAGTTTGCTAAAACTAATTTCCATACCTATTAAAAGCCATTTTATCTTTCTCGTACAAATACATACAAGTCTACCATCGTGTCAGTTTAGTCTTTTTAACGTCTATCCAAAATTTTTTTGCCATCTGTTCTTCGAGCAAAATTTTGATAAATATCGACAGTTTGCGAATATATTTACTTACGTAATATATATATGTATCAGGTACTTAATACATTACTTTCTAAATGTTATGTCAGTTACTCAGTATTATATTTAATTTCTTTCGTGTATGCAATTTGCAGTAATAAACAAGTTCTAATAATCGTCTAAAATTAATACTGAGGAGAATTTACTTTTATAACTCGTCAATGTGAGATTTTAACAATTTCGGTAACGATGGCACGTCGGATGTCATGGAATTACCTGGCAAGCCAAAATTATCGGGGAACACGTGGCTCAGTATGGCATAGTAATGATATCCAGCTGCCACGGCAACAAAGAGATGCCAAATCGCGTGGGCGAACGGTATCCTCCCGTCGCATTTAAAGAACACCAAGCCGAGAACATAAAACAGTCCTCCCAGTTTCAGTTCGGTAATATTATAATAATTATACTGTAACGTACAAAATAATGAATTTTTCATTCGTCGACAGTAGCATTTCTTACATACTTACAACGTTAATAATAGCAACGCTAGGACCGATCCCCATAAGTAGATAAAATAGTGTTTCTAACATTTTGTATCGCTCGTGGAAGATTTGTTGATACAGTATACCCAATATTGCCATGATCCAAACAGCGTAACGCATCGCGAATAATAATTCATCGTCCGGGAAATGATCTACATTTAACCAAGGGAAATAACTAGCGGCGATAAAAATATAGATCATGGCACGGTCGCAGCGGTGTAGCGTGTCTTTAAGTTGTCTGCAATTCATTAGAAGAATTTCGGGTTTTAGTTCATGAACAGGATGACCAGACACAGAGCTGTGTAGAATAATTGAGTACCTGTTATTGTTGCAATAATGTACGCTGTGAAAAAATGTCGAGACCGTAAAGACAAGAATCAGCGATGTACCATACACGGAAGCTGATACAAATTGTCTCCATGTAGTAGAACGTTGGATCAGTTGCAAACTACCTACGACAGACGGTACTACCCAAATTCCATGGGTAGCTACGTTTGCTATATGTTCTACAGAAGTGGGTGTATATGCTTCGTTCGTACATGCTCGAGGGTTCATCCATTGTATGCTGCAAGAAGCCAATATGCTTTTCTAGTAAAATATCTCTTTCAATATTTGTCGGAACTTAGATTCTCGTTCCTCATATGCGATAGAATAAATGAAATACGATAGGATATGTTGGTACAAATTAAAAAGAAATTAATGTGCAATTTAAGATTTTAAATTGCCAAATTTCTGTACTACACAAAATAAATTGCATTAGCAATTCAGAATGTTTGCCTTATAATAGTTGACAGATTTATCATGTAACTTGTTCTTATTTTTTATCGATCTCACGTTTCAGTGGTGAAACTTTGCTATATATGTACGTAGTTGCAGAAATACTAGAGTATCATTTTATTTCATCGTCTCGAATCACGTCTTGTTGGGCACATATAAATGAAAGTATATATTTACTGTATATTATACAACGGAACGTTTATTTGTACTGTAATATAAAGATAGGAGGACTTTGATAATTACTTATTATCTATGGCGTACAAGTAGGCTGAAACCTAATAACGTAAATAAGGTAAAAATGAAGTAATGAAATAGTATCCTCGATGATTGCGTCACAAGATCATGCGAGCCGATCGCTAATTATTGATTTAAAAAAGAATTCGTGTAAAGTCATTAGAAGAAATTGAAGACGATTAACTGATAGCAACCATTCATAAGTGTAACATTAATTAGATTTTATATATTAAAATTTTCACACTGTCTTAAAGATAAATTCTATCAGTCTTTTTTTATCTATTTGGAGTTGAAGATTAATGTTTCTATACAAATTTCGTACAAGAAATTAATCTTTTTAATTCATAAATAATCTTGAACCATTCAACGAGCGGTGATTAATGTTAAATGGCATAAATGGTCGCCCGTCCGTCGAACTCGCAGTTCAACTTGATGATAGCGTGCGCCAGATATTGAACTTTGAACTGTTCAGTTTAAAAATCACGAAGCATTAATATTGCTCCAAATTCTTTGTATTTTATCACAACTATTAAATTGCGTCTATAATTTTAACTCAATCAATTTATTTATTATTTTTTAAGCGAGTTAAATAAATGATAAGAAAATTACATTATTATTAATATTAAACTTAGCGTGAAACTGGGTTCAAATTCTACCTACCAGTTAGTATTTATTGTTCTGAGAATTACTCATGCATATATGTACATATGTACAGAGAAAAGGAAAACTGAATCACTGAAGCCGTGTTTTCCTTCTAACTTCGATATTTAACGAGTTACATATGATTATATGGCATTTTATTGATGTTGACAAAATCCGACCATCCCAGCGTCGACATGGCGAACTTTTGACAAAAATTTTCGTTTTTCCTTAATTACTCCTAAACCGTTGAATCTACGGGAAAATTGCATAAGACCTTTCTTGTAGAGGACGACGAGATCTACAATTTCTGTATAAAAGTTTGTCGCTAGCATTAATATTTAACGAGTTATTGACGAAAAACGAAAAAACAGTTTTTTGCAAATTACTCGTTAACTATTAACGCTAGCGTAAAACTTTTGCATGGAAATTGTAGATCTCGTCGTCCTCTACAAGATAGGTCTGATGCAATTTTTCCGTATGTTCAACGGTTTGGGAGTTATTGGCCAAAAACGAAAATTTGGAAGAAATTGAAGGGGTACCCCTTGGAAAAATCTCGGAAAAATCGAAAATTTCTTTTTGTTGTTTATTATTAGCAATGTTCTTCCGACGTCTGATTTCTTTTAAAAAAATGCGTTTCTAAAGTGCATAAACTTTTCGGATTGACGGTATAGCCAATAGATCCTTAAGGATAACATTATAAGACTACTATATGTACATGTAAACGATGAAAAATTGAACACTTTCGTCAGAAGAATTAGAAAATTATTATTCATTCAGGAATATGCAAGTAATGAAACATTAACATAGAATCCCGTGTGAAATGTCTAGAGGATTGTATGTTAATTTTTTGTACATAACAGACAACTAGGTTGCGATGTCTACAAGGAAATTAAAAATAAAAACTGTACGATAAAAGTTAATTAACACTTTTCATTCTCCGTTTATTACACGTGTCAAACAAAGTAATTTTGTAAAAATAAACACATTACGTAGAAGAGGATAAGATATTGCAAACAACGCAAAGAATTGAGAATGTTATGGGTATCTTCTAAAGCAAACAATAAATTATAATCTTTCTTATACAGTGCAATGATTACTATGCCAACGAGTGGATTTGTAAAATAAAAGATGCATAAATATTCTAAGCTAACAAACTCGTACTGATGAATGTTAATACATAAATTCATATAGTACCTACTTGTCTATCTACATTTGATGATAATACACAGTTCCAAAATTGAATAGCCGTGTATCCATTATAATTTGGGTCTTCCATAGCCAATATTACTTGACGTAATCGCCTCTTTGTCCACTTACAAGCAGAGTAACAATGCATTCCACTTAAATAGGCCCAATTACAATACCCAAACATGCAATTTTTTTATGTCTACTAGCAAACCGGATTAAAAGAGAAATAGAATGCTGGAACTTCACTCGGTATAGAATGAAAATAAAAATGCATAAAACTGACTTGTTCCTTCAATTTATTTTCATTAAATTAAAATGATATTTTTACAAATAAGCATCTCCTGCTTTCCTATCGTACAACAGTTACACAGGTCTAATACTTCCTTATGTAAAAGTGTTAAAATCAGTTTAACATTATATAAGGATGAAATAAACATCTAAGGTTTCATACAGGCATACAAGAGTAATACAATATACAGGATGACATGCTACGCTGAAAATATAGAATGTTACTTAATAAAATACTTTAGGAAATAAAAAAAGGGTAGAGATTCATCGACCGACAACTCAAACGGAATTACATGCAACGAGGAAACATTGTCAATTAGTTGTTTAAACAACGGTGTTACACATTAATCGAGACACAGCCATTAGTTAGTTGCAAATATGGTTTTAAGCGAGTTGACAAAAATTTCGAATACGCACAGATTAAATCTTATTAATTAATATTAGTTGTTATGCATCTTACTCTTTAATACGATGAAATTGTAATAAATTTTTTAGTGTTGTCACGACGAATTGATGAGGGCTAAATATATCCATGTTTCCCGAGAGATCAGCGAGTACACGTAAGTATGCAGGGTCTCGGCTTGCCAACAATGTCAACCGTTTCGGTTATCGAATAAAATAAGGTGTATTAATTAACGCGGTCGCTTATTTTCTGCCTCATGTTTCGTCAATACTTCACAAAACGTCGTAGACCGATGGAACCGTTATGGTTTCCTCATGTCGAAATTTACATGTTTATTCTTTTAACACTATTGTCACCGACGCCGTAGCACTACTGTCAACTACCGAGCTCCACGACGCTCTTTTAAAACCATCCGTGAAGGAAACAGCAGTACAAAGTCCCAGTACCCAGCAATTCTGATGGGTGCTCCCCAGACCTCCCCACGCACACGCGTCTTTTACGGACGGTGACAAGGGGAACTCGGGGTGAGGGAACAGGTGGTTATGGCTCGTGGCAGCTGCTAGTATATAAACTTACTTATATATGATTTACTATACATTAGGCTCGTGCCTTTTTATAGACGAATCAAAAGCAACGATAAGTCGGCACGTGTAATGCAGCGATATAACTGTACGAATCCAAAAACGTGCTCTTTCTCGCATACCACAGGAGAGATAGGAGCAAGTGACTGAAGGTCGATGTATTTAAAAACTAATTCTTACCAATTCACCGAATAGAGAGAGAGAGAGAGAGAGGGGGACAGATCCCTACACCAGCTATCGATCTCCTTTTAATATCAGTTGTAATACCTCGTGCGTGTTCTTCTATCCTTCTCTTGATCACGGTGGGGAGTTTGGCAGAATCGCTGCATATAGTATTACGAGCAAATATAGCTGCCACAAACCAGCTGTATTATGTTTTATTAATTCATCAATCGTTTCCATCCGCGTTTAATATTATTATATTATTAAAAAGTAAATGTACAATTTGGATATACCTAGTCGGACATTGGAGCCCTGACAGCTTTCAAATATTTAAACAGAAAAACAATTATATACATTAGATTCGTTTGTGTTGTATATGCATTACACCTATACATAATTAAGACAAAACTTACAGTACGTCCTTGTATATCTATAACAAATGAAATGTGGACAGAACTGGGAATAATTTTGCGTCTTATTCCATTTTTATTAATAATCGATAGGTAAACTGTACTGGTTCACAGTTATTTCTTCATCGACGACCAGCAACAATTACGAAAACGTTCAACATGTTCCACATAGTCTTGTATCCTATTCCCGTACGCGATTCACGAAAATTCTCGGAACAAGAAAAATTCTTTCGCAAGGCAGCTTGTGAACAGTTGTTTTTTTAATTCATTCCATTTTTCAATCGGAATAATACCGGTTTGTCATTCATCAATTTCTACGAGTTTTTCATACGACTCGTCGCACTCGTACATTCTGTGCTTAACGTTACAGGACACGGAGAGTTCACGGTTGCTTTCGACATTTAGAAATCTAGGCATATCTAGATAATACGGATAATCAGTCGCTTTCCTTGAAAAAGGACACTGTTATTCTCCCCGAATAAAGTTCCTACCCAACAACAAAGAGAAAATATACTTTCGTCCAAGCTTGCTGTACTAATTTCCGTTTTAAACTTCCTTTCTCATTCTGTCTTTAATCGAGACGATACACTTGGCTCGTAATGTCGCGTCTGATATGAATTATTATGTATCATACCGCTATGCTCTTACAGAATACCATTCGTAACAACCGTACAACGTTCGCGCAGAAAGCGAACGACGATCTACCAATGTGCATATATAAAATATGGACATATTCACTTAGCGTAATCACCTTTCAGTAATTATCTCTTCCTCGGATTCCTCTCGGTGGTTGATCGCCGTCCCGTCCTCTACCGCGATTGTTATATCCGCTCCTTCCCATGTTATTGTCACTGGGACCGCGGTTCATAGGACCGCGATTGGGTCCGAGCTTATTCCCGAAATTACCGAAGTTCGAGTTAAAATTATTTGGCGGATTCTGACCAGGGTTCTGGCAACGGAAACCGGGACCGAAGCCTGGTCGATCGAAATTCGGCGGGCCGGAGTTCGGCCCGCGGAAATTTGGCAAACCTTGAAAGCTGTTGCCGAACGGGCCCTGATTGGGACCGAACGGGGGCAACGGGCTCGGCCTGAAATGTTGATTCGGGCCGAAGTTACCATTCGGCGGCCGAAAGTTCGGGCCGAAGTTGCCGGGCGGCGGTCCGTTTGGACCGAAGCCGGGATGCATGTTGGGGTGATGCATCATGTGCATGGGACCGTCCATTCCTTGCATACCAGGATGCAACGGTTTGTTCTGCATAGGATGCTGAGACATGTTTGGATGTGGCACTAAGCTTGGTATCGGGGGAGGCATGTTCGGATTAATGTTCTGCATATTGTGATGACTCGACATGTGAGACAAACTGTTGCCTAAATGTGGCATATTGTTACTCATGCTCGAGCCCATGCCCATCGGCATGTTGTCGCGTTTGTCGAAACTGCTGGAAAACATTCCACCGTCTCCTTTCCGAGGGCCGTCGTTCATCGATTTCTCGTCGTCCCATCGACCGTCCCGATCCCTGTCGTCGTAAAGATCGTTGTCCATAGGCTTCTTCAAGGGGAAGCCGTGTGAGCTTCTGAAATCCTTCTCCGAGTAATTACTCCTCATGTCGTAATCCGAACGCGAGCTGGGCCTCCCGGGTCCGCTGGATATGTTGAATCGCAAGTCCTCGTCGCGACTCGAGTTTCGGCCGCCTTCGCCATGCGAAATTTTTCTAAGATCCTCGTCTTGTCCACTGTGATAAGAGTTGTCGTTGGAGTGCTGATTTGACTTCGTTCCCGTGTATCTCAGATCGGTATCACTGTTCTGTGAGTCCTCTGTGATCGCTCCACCGAAAACTGGTTGGTGGATCTTCGACGTTCGGTCGCTAGCACCGCCGTCGCTCCAACCGATCAGCTGATCGAATTTTCGTTTCCCACCGCGATTCAGAGCCTTCAGTAGCTCAGGATTCTGTGCGAATTTGGAACTGGGTAAAGGTGGCGGAAGTTCAATGTCGGGAACTTTGGAATAGTCGATTTCGCCGTCGTCCTGTAGATATTCTTCGGAATCATCTACGTTATCCGGTGGACCCACGACGTCGCGTAGCTCCTCTATTTCTCCAGAGAACACTAATTTATTTATGGCATCGTTTCCTTTACTGATCGCCTCCGCTAACTTAGAACCAGCTGGAATATTTTTTATAATTAGCGATTGTTTTATTGAAGATTATACGATCAAATATAGTGCTACTTACATTCAACAGGAATCATTTTTCCGTATAATATAATACCGTTAGGCGTTACTTCGTTCAGCGGCACCGCACCTGGTGTAGTCTCGATTAACTGATTCACAAATGCATTTAAAGCCTCTACTTGTTCCATATCTTCTGCTTCCATTTCGTTCCACTGTGCTTGGAAATTCCTTGGGATTGGTTTACTATACGGGACTTTCTTGTTTGCAAACTTTTTGCCTTCATCTACTGCATGATCCAGGTCCAGGCCAGGAATCCCACCACTCTTGTCTTCCGGTTCACCATCGGCATTGATTCTGTCCTCGGGTCCCATCCCAGGTATTACGGCTGCTTCGTCAGCTGTAAGACAATCAAAAAACCGCCAATGAAAAGATAGAATTCCTTCGATTCTACGAATAATACTCGTTTGATATGTTCCGTACCTATTTCGTGATCATCGACACCAGCCGATCCAGCCGGTAACGTATTCAAATTATACTTGTCCCTCATCAAGTCGCCGGGCCTGTTTCGCGTCCAGAACTTTGAAGTGTGATCGTTGCTACCGGAGCACAGGATGTGTCCTAACGGATGCCAAGCCAACGTCCAGACTATGCTATCGTGAGCCTGTTCTATCGCGCCCACTTCCTTGTCAGCACTGAAAATCCGACGCCATGTACGTGGAAAACGCGTAAAAAGCGACTCGTGACAATAGAAACAAATGAGGCCTACCCCACGTGCCAAAACAAAATAGCGCCGTCGCTGCCACCGCTACAAAATAGCCCCTCGTGACTCGGATGCCACGCGACGCTAGAAGCTTCTTTTTTGTGGCCGCGAAATGTTTGAACCTCTTGCGTCAAGTTTCGCAGGTCGAACAATTTGAGCAAATGGTCCCGGGACGCAGTCACCAACCAGTTACCGTTCTCGTTCCATTTAACGTCCATCACCGTTGATTTATGCGCGTGCAAAGTCGCGAGACTCTGCCCGGTCTTCGGATCCCACAGTTTCACCGGTTGCTGATTATCTTTGCTTCCGGAGATGACTAGACTCTTTTGCGGGTGCCAGTGCACGCACTTTACGTCAGCTCCGTGACCTAAACAACGATTATATGAATGTTCCTAATGAAGTTACCTTGTAATATACGCGAAGAGATCTTTTTCAAATTCAGTCGACGATACATTAAGTAAATATTATATATACCCCTGAGAATTCGCTCTTCGTGACAGCGAAGGAAGTCCCAAATTCTCACGGTTCCGTCGTCACTGCACGTAGCCAGCTTGTGATCCGTCGGGCTGAAACTACCCACCCAAAAAACAAAAGTTATATTCAAACAATACGCACCTACGTGGCTTAGAAAGTTTATTTTATTTACAAATGATCACAAGACTTTTCCTTACGAGAAAAACGATTATATAGATATTTGTCAATCACTTCTTTAGTGTGCAGATTTGCAGAGTACTGAATAATAAGATAGGAATAGTGACGAAAGATTGAGCACGTGTTAAGTTCTACGTTTATATTCATTATTACTTTACACGTATAATAAATATTCAAAAATAGAAGAAAGTAAAGCGAAGAGTTTATTGATGTCCAAAATAATATTTAGGACGTATGGTACACCTTGCGGACATTGTCAAGATATGAATATACTAGAAGTTGAATAGAAGCATATAATGGCTTACATTTATTACTGATTTGTCTCTTCTTTATTGTACAAATGCTACACATGCAATACGTATACAGAATAAGCAAAAGAACATCTTATTACATATTTTTAAACGACAACCCCATCTTAAATAAATTTACTATCTACACATGCGTCCTTGACAAATCCTAAAAAAATCAGCTTAAGAATCGAGAAAAAAACGTAATTTTTAGTATGATATGTAGAAAAATCAAATGTACAAGTCTTTATCGTATGTATGCGATTAAAAAAAAAGGTATATAGAGATGCTCGAAAATGTGCGGATTCGATAGATTTTAAGAATACGCGTAACAAGTAGACTTTTATTATGAAGTCACCTCGAGGGTTCGACAGACATCAGTAATAAAAGGAAGATCTACGTGTAAATATTATAAATAAACAAAAAACCAACTTCGACAGTCATACCTGGCACTCAAACAAAATTCGTTGCTGACGCGAGGCAACAAACCGTTTCTCATTGTCATGAAACTTTGAATCTCTCTTTGATGCCACATGACCACCGAGTGATATACAAAGAGTAATATTTTTTCAAAAGTTCAACATTTATTGCACAAAAAAAATGTCCGAAGTGTACATGAATTCTTTTTATTTATATATCTCTCTGTTATTCTCTCTCTCTCTCTCTCTCTCTCTCATCTGCAAAAGGGTACAAGTGATACAGATCGAAGAGAAGAATACTTTATTTTTCCCTTTTCTTTACGAAAACAATACGATACTGTGAAATATATATCTCTTCATTCAACTTTATTGAAAAACTTGGATGAGATGTAAAGAAGGACATAGGATATTTATTTTTATTTATAATTCCATGGGAATCTCGACTGGGTGTTATATATATATTTCTTGCTTGTTTATTCATTCGAAATATACACATGTTTCCCAACAACCTGACTATATAAAACTCCATAAATTGTGAGCCATAAGGACCTAATTTGAAACTTTTACTTTGCAACGTATTTCATTTCTTCCTTCAACACGTCTTTTCACAAAATCAACGAACTCTTACTGTAATAATCTAGCGGACCGTGGGTATTTGTTTAGGTCCCTAAGACTCTATGCGTACAGATGTAAAGTTTCGTATTAGTATACGCGTAACACATTCGGTAGAGAAATTTACACTATCCCTATGCTTCGTGAAGACGTTTATCGAGAATTTTACGATCTTGGAAGCCTACTGTATGTTCGTTGAAGAAGGACCAGCGCGCGCGTTTATTAATTGGAGCTACAGTGAACATTTGTATCACAATCATTTTGATAAAAAATTGCAGTAAAAAAATTGCAATGACGCGGATGGGAGTACCGCAGGAGACTGAATGTTTCTATCACAGACTTCGTATCACAGAAATGTGTAAAGCCCGAGGAATCGTGAAACCACGCATTTAATAGCAGGAAATTCAGTCAAGTACGATTGACGAAAAACTTTGGAAAATCACCTGTGTACCCATACAAGAATCACTAATGCCAGAACAGAAGTATTATAAAACCAGAGAAGGAAGAGAATGAGAGTCATGTCCAATATCTTAACTACAGCAAGGATGGACGGATCATCGATAACAGTGGCGCAAGAGACGTAAGGACTAGTGTGGTGGATGGTATACCTGAGTCCTCTAATCGCTTCTTTGTGCGCCTGAAACATCTTGACGTTGTTCATGTTGCTCTGCCAATACTTCACGTAGCCTGCATGATCTCCCGTGACCATCCAGCTCTCGTTGTGCGACCATACCATCGTTCTCACTGGACTATCGTGCGCCTGCACACACAGAATCAAATCATCGATTAATAAAATCGAATATACAGACTCTGTAAAAACTATTGTGAAGTTTTCCAAGTTTCAACGTTTGAAAACATTACAATTTTTATGGGTGTATACTATTCGATCGATACTAGAAGATCACGAAATAATATTGTAAATCTAGCTACAATTACGGAACTATCGAAGCACATCAAATACCTGTAGGATGGTTTCAAAATTAAAAGTAAGACCGTTCCACAGGGTGAACTCCCCGCTAGACGCGCCTGTAACGAGACGTCTTCCCTCAGGTGTCCAAGCCATACAGAAGATGGGACAACGCATTTTATTTGTCGCAGTCTTCACGAATCTTGTGGTGACTGCATTTATCGGATTGTCGACGTAGCTGGGTGGTGGGAGTAGGTCAGGATAGTACATCACATCGGGTTGCAGGGCACGCCTGTCCCTGTAATCCCTCTGCCATACTCTATTCTGTACAGAAAAATAGAACATTATAGTTGTACATTATGGACATCAGCATATTTTATCGCTCGGACCGGGACTCTTACTTCTAGACTCTTTATGATGGCAGAATTATAGTCCACCGTTTTTCGCATAACGGACTTCCTAAGCCTTTTCCCGTCGAACTCATCCTGTAACGTGTCTTGGCCAGCAGCAACAATTTTTGGTGCATGATAAGGTCTGAACGGTTTAAAGAAACCTCTCGTTCCTTCTCTGTGGTTGGTGTACCGATGCTGATAACTCCCAGAGGTGTTTATGGTGGTCAGATTAGGAGGTGGGGCTGACAAGTTTGGAGCAGCGGGAGGCGGGACTGACATATTAGGTAAACTTATAGCTGGCGGAGGATTTGCAAATTGAGTATTTGCAGACATAATGAAATAATTTATAAAAGATAATTACTTTAAATATACAAACGAAAGTATAATTTAAATGGACAATAAGGGATAAACATATTTGCTTAATTTCAACTAACGATGCTACGCTGAATCCGTTACGGGCATTTCTGTAAATAAACGTACAATACGTTCTCCGTTATTATTTTTCTAACGTTACGTTTAACAGATTTTTCGTGTTACATTGTTACATTTATTAAATGTACATATGGCATGCAGTACACAGCCGGGTCGTGTAACGAGCGTGAAACATGCCGAATCCTGACTTGGACGCGTTATTTATCGAACTAATTGAGGAAAAGAAATTTCAATAAATCAATCAATTACTTTAACAAAACAGTTTTACTATTCAGAAGATATGAATCTGCAATGTTCGGAACGGACAGTGGACTTTCACAAGTGAAACTGTGCTACAAACTTCTCGATAGGAATATACATCTTTGTATTCAATTTTATCATTGTAAAAGATGTAAGTGCCTTTAAACTGATCGACTATTGAACCACGAAATATCTACCGTTCAAGAGTAAATATATTGAAGCAACTCCTATCGAAATCGGGAGATTTACGAAGGTTAGACGAATTGATTTTCAAGTGAAGAACAGAATCCACGAAGTTTGTGTTCAAGTTCTAACGCTTTCTCTAGTACGAGACCAAACTGTTCTACTAAAATTAATTAACAACCTGTTCATTGATTGCGAACAAATTCTGTTTGATGCTCCCGCACTGTAAAACTCTTAACATGTACACAATCACTTATTTCCACCAGTTACATAAAGGACGTTTTACGAATTGATCGAAATAGTCAACGAGTTATAGCGGGCATCACTCGGCAAAGGATATCGAGAACTTTCGCGTTTTCTACTTCTAACATGTAAATTTAAACACAACGAGCGAGTATCAAGAGAATTATGTGTCCGATACGGACGCCATTACTCTTCTCTGAGCGACGACATCCGTTTTAGTTCTTCTGCACTTCCGAGTTCCGACAGTGTATGTTACTGCGACGTTAACGGTTCCGTAGATATAGCCACTCATTAAAATCATTTAATATATTTGTAAAATAAAAAAACGAAATCATCTCAACAATTTTTTACGATAAAAAAAATGTAAAATAAATTGTAAGTTTGTAGGGAGTTTCATGAGCGATCCTAGGAATTTAATATTTATGTAAGAAATTGATATTTAAATTAAGCGTATGTACACCGTACATACGCTTCAACGTGATATCTTGTCGGATCTTATAGATTGAGACTGACAACAATTGAACAATAATGAGTAGAAATCGACAGTAAAGCTCTTATTAAAAGAATTGATCAGTAAATGAATTTGCTGACATGTAAATGCACGATTTTGACTTGAACATAAAGACGTTATAGTACACACAATAAAGAATATAAATAATGGATGATAAGTGTGCTATAACGAAACTACCGCATCATGTACAACAAAAATTGTGCCAGACGCGGCCGCCTTATAGGCAAGGGAAAAGATTAACATCCGTGAAGGTAGCATTGTGACTTGTATCCTATTTTACATAAAACATATTTATTAATAATTGTACTTTTTAATTGTTCGTATGGCCTTAATATTTCCTTGACACACTAGCTCTATGTAACAGGTTTACACAGTAAACGACGAATCGAAACATTTGATGATATGCGGAGTACCGAAACTCCAGTTAGGTGAAGAGATTAGAAAAGTTGTTGAACCATATGGGATTATTAAAAAAATTCATGTGGTGCCTGATTATCCCACAGAGGAGTTCACAGAGGCATACTATGTACAATATGACCGCATACAAAGTGCAAGGTTCATATTTTCTTAAATCTCATTAATCTCCATGTTATGCCAGTGCAAATAATTTTCATACATACATTATGCAGAATAGCAAAACGATTTGTTGATGGGAAAAACTTTTATGGGGGTTCTTTGCATGTCTTTTATGCACCTGAGCTTGAAACTGTATCAGAGACTAAAGCCAAGCTTCTTCAGCGTCGCAGAGATGTAATTATACGCATACACAGAAATCAACGAGATGTGAAAAATCATGATACTGATAAATTTATTCCAACGTACGTAGGAAGTAAATGAGGTCGTATGATTTTTGTGCGACGTTACAATTGGTCGATTGATTTCAGAGAGCAGTATCATAGAAGAAAAAGAACACCTGCTTTGCCACTTACTGAAGAACGTTTAACTCGGCAGTATCCTGGAGAGACATTGTCTTCTATTTATGATGGGATACCACGAAGTTTGGATCCGAGACCAGTGTCTGAACCTAGTCTACCGTCAACTTCTTATGCTCCGCAAGAAAATAATACGTCCATCTCGTTACAAACTCCTTACCATCCGGATGAAGCTGTTATGAATGCCAGTGAAACTGCTAAAAGATTAGATTGTGTAGAAAGAAAGAGGAAAAATTACAAGGGACAATCGGTCGATAATGGTGTGAAAGTTCGAGTTCTAAGACCTCAGCTCGTAGATACGAGTACAATCGTGAAATGGGATAATTCAAATAAGAACGTATTTTCTAATCCGAAGAGAACTCAGAGTAATATAACTATTAGATTGATTTCGAAAAGTGATGATGAGAAAAAGAAGATCGTAATAAAAGATCCAAGGTATATTATATATTACACATTATTTTAAAAAGACTTGTAGCAATTTATTATTATTCATTGTTTAGTGTTTCACGATTAATACAACCAAGTGAGAATCTTCGACTATCGATCAAAGAGGCTAAATCCCAAATACGAGCAGTTATGCAAACTAACGACAAAGATAATTAATGATTATTGCATTAAGACCTATAATACAGAGGACGTTTATTTTTCATTAAATAAATAAAATGTAACTGTTTAACTGTCAATGATTCACGGTTAAAATGATTTGAAATCTTTTTCCTTAAAACATCCGTAATAAATTGTAACTAAATTTTCCCTAATCAACATTAATGAGTCTAAATAATAACTGATGAATTCGGATCCCACTGTATGGCTTTCGACTTCGTCACAGATCTTATGTGCGGCGGCGTGTTCTCTTGAAGCATTTTCGGTTTGACACCTTTACTCCTAAATGTTTGTTGAGAGTTTCTCACCATTTGCATTTGTTTATGTGCATTTGAACGGTTCCCAAGGGGAGTCCTTGCCTGAAAATAGAAATATTCGTGTATCATCCCTAATCTCTTAAAAGTAACTCGTTATTCATTAATTACCGCTGTTGTAGATCCATTGCTATTTTTATCAGCGAAAATCTTTTTCTCACTTAAGGCCTCTGTTCCTCTTTTTTTCTTTCCAATTACATCCACTTTCAATTTATCATTTTTGGCTGGCTTTACGAACAATTTATCTTTGGCACTATTGTTCTTATCGAATATTATCACTTCTTCCTCGGCCACTTGTGGTTCTTTCGCTTGAACAATTTCTACGTCATCTGTCTCCAATTTCTGTGATTTGTCCGACACCAATGAATCTCTCCATACTTTAATAAAAATATTATCATCGCCACATTTTTCTTCCTCGAGTGTCTCCTTTTGTACGTCTTTATCAACGCAAGTGTCTGCCTCTAAAGTCTGGATCTCTCGACCTCCGGATTCTCTTTTTTCTAATGTAAACGTTCGTTGTACAAATAACAATTTTAATAATAGGAATGCGTCAAGAACAATGATTTTCTTACCACTCTCCAAAAGACTTTCGGATCTAGTTGGCTGACTAGAGCCCTCGGACTCAAGCTCATTGGACTTATCAATGATTGTGTTTAAATTTAAAGACTTCAATACACATGATGCTAAATCAGGCAGAGCTTGTACTTCTGTCACGTCAAATTGAGATGACATCTCACAGTACGAGTATGACGGATATAATTGGTCTGCTTCGTAACTTCCTTGCCTCTGCAACGTCTCTTGAGATCTCGCTTTTAAACGTTCTAAAGATCTCGGCTTTAAAAGTGGAGTTCTATCAAAATCTACTGCTGGAGATCTAGGATCAAGCCCTAAGATATCATAACGTTCCTTTTGTATCTCTGTTATCAGCTCCTTTTTAATCATATTATCAGCTACTGGTTTTAAAAGCGATTCATTATATTTATCTTCCTAGAAACAGGAAATTCATTTCTCAATAGAAAGGTACGATATTTTACAGCAGTGAAACTTACCAAATTAGATATTTGTAATTTTTTAGTCTCTATCAATGTCCGTGGAGAACGTTTTCTCGGTGTTAGACACATTATGCTGTCTATATCTGTTTCCAGATATGGTTTTCTCTGCAAATACTTAGGAACTGCCGTTAATCTTTTATTGAATACTGGAGTATCGTAAATCACCTGTGGACAAGAAAGGACTTGTACTTGGATAATTTATAAAAGTCTACACAAGGCTTGTTGATGAAAGTTTTTATGTCTATTTCCAATGACCTTGACTTGGACAGTGACAGTTAAACTTTTTAAAAGTTCTCGAGGCTCAAAGACATTGAAAATGAGTCTCCTAAACACCGCTTTAACAAAATAATTAATCAGTGCCTAAATTACCTCTATTGGCGTTCTAGTTATGCCACTTGTTGCTGATCTAGGATCTGCAGGTACAACTCTCTGGATTATAGGCGGAGTATGCATACAATCATTTTCCATTATTCCATCTGTAACGGAATCTCTTATCTCTTCCTTTTCGCTTTCATTACCGTTATTAATTTCATTCTTATGAGGGAAGAATTTATCCATATAATTCCCCATTCTCCCGATTCTCTTTTTTGTGTACAAACAAGTAACGTTTCTCTCAGAGCGATGTTTTAAAAATAAATATGTGAAATGAGAATAATCTGCTAATAGTATTATTCCATGGCTGTTTAAGACGAAATTTAGCAAATATTTAAACAAAGCGCTATGGAATTCTCACTGTTCTCACTGTGCTGTAACTTTCGAACTACTCAAACTCTAATATAAGATTAAAATACTCTTGCTCCTGCTCCTGAATCCTGACTTGATCCTGACTGATCAGACGGATCTTCGAAAATCAAACTGACGAAAAAGCGAATTACCAACAATGTAACTTTAAAGTTACATACAGTCGTATATAAGGAATGCCAACGCATTTATGTAATTCGAGTTGTACCTCACAAGAGGGACGATCCAGGACGATCTTACTTTCTATATATGCTGGATCAATTTACTTGAATATTTGCGTGAATGTTTATTTACCACGTGGAGTGAACTACAGTCTTCCATGAATTTCCTTACACTCCAATTATGCAGACGATTGAGATACTGCGCGTACGATAGCACGATAGTGAACAATATCGTTAAACGATGTAGTCACGTAGCGGGCAACAAGGAACATGTATCAGAACCGATTAAATCAAAATTATTTCCAGATTACAATGTAGTCTATAATTTGCCTTACATTACGGTCACTTATATATTAAGTAGGCTAAAACGTAATTGCACTATTGTTACTGGTGCAGTCATACCGATAAGTTTAACTGTGAACTTGTTGGATTTTATCCCAATAGATGATTGTTTTATTGTAATAGCTACTTGTAAGTTGAAACTACATTTAACATGTGTACTGTTAATTATAACTCTTCATTGTCTTTATACATACATGTATTTTAGGTTGTGTAATGACAATTTTATTACATGCTACCGGTTATCTGTACAACAACGTAATTGGATCCATGTGTATCAAAGACAAAGAAAAAATTGTAATATCATATATAAATTATTGGGGTACACGAATAGATTTGAAGACTGACATTAATAATGTTGAACTTTTGTCAGAAATTCCCATGAAAAGGTTGAAGTTCGGAGAGTTCAGGTATTTAAAAATCAAATCTCCCGAGAAAAAATTAAAACTGTTCGTAGCCCATGGGAAGATTTATGATAAATCTGAGTTTCATAATATTGTTGGTAATTATGAATGATATATTTATTAACGATAAATAAATAATTTTATTTGTATCATTGTTTACAACCACCTATAATGTGCATAAGCCCTGTTGGCTTCACATTGTTTATGCATCTCTTGCTTTTTCCTAATAGCTTTACCCTGAAATATAAATTACGGATATACTAAATATTTTAGATTCGTTTAGGCAATAACTGAAATGGTCGAGTATGATCATACCTCATTTCGTGCAGCGTCAATTAGCTCCTTGGGTAGTGTATCGTACAGTTTCTCAGCATTCCCTTTCTCTTTTGCACTTTTGATTATCCAGGTTATAGCCAAATGTCTGGCTCTAACATCCCTCATCGGTACTGGGACCTGTCCAGGAATTTAAAGTATTTCTCAATGTTGAATAATCACCAAATCGTATTAAAAAGTATTTTATGTTTGTACCTGATAAGGAATTCCACCTCTCATTATTTTTGTTAACTCCAAGACAGGTGTACAGTTGTCCACGGCACGATGTAAGATCTCTTTTGGGTCTAATATAATTTCATTCCTGTCCATGGGTGGAACGCTATAATATTTCTGTAATTGTGCTATTTTAATATTCTCAAATGTTCTGTCCATTATCTTCCTGGTCAGTTCCTTTTTACCCCATCTCATAAGACAGTTTGTAAATTTCCTATTACCCAACATACAAGTTAGAAACTGTACAAGATACAAATGACATCTTATTTGAATTAAATATGTTTACTTGACTAGCGGATCATGAAATTCAGAGCAGGTGTCTGTATTTGTGGCTGGTCTTATAGGTACATGAGCCAATTCCTCGTTCTTTTCTTCTTCATATATTTGTTCTAATTCATCTTTCTTAAATACCGGTGGCATGTAATTCTTTGGGAATACACTGTAAAACTGAACTGTGCCTGCTGAATTACACCTAAAAAAAACATGATGCATTAATTTTTTTATAAGAACATGTGCATTCACAGAGAATTGTATTTTACCAAGATGTAATTATATTTTTTATGATTCAGTGTATTACTTGAGGTTATAGCGATCAATTTCTTTTTACCAAAAAGAAAAGATACGAATATATTATTGAAATTATAAAATTACCTTAAACTAGGGAGAATAAGTGAATTGAACGTTTTTCGAACAATCATGTTTGTTTCGTTGATTGTTATTCGTTTCGTCCAACAGTGTCCAACAGTCCGATGTGCAGTCGAGTGTTATGCAGTGTTATGAACACAAGATCGTACGGAATGTATCAATCGAACTAAAACAGAAGAATTATTGTTTTATTACACTGAATTGTGAGAGAAACTAGTAAAATGCTGAACTGTTGAACAATGTTAATCAATTACAAGGAAAAGAAATCATTCATTTTTTCAAATTGATAAAGTTGCTATAATTAGCGTTTGGAATAATGAAGAACTATTTGGAGTCTTTACGCGTTTGTGCTTCGAATAATAAATGAAACGAAAATAAATGAATTGGCAAACACTGGGATAATAATTCGAACTCTCTGGTTTTCTGGTTCAATGTAAACTTGCCATAGTCTTCCTTTTTTATTTGCGTACGGATACGCATATGTATATCGAATGGTATGTATGTCATCGTTGTTACGATGGTCAAATAAATAAGTGATCGGTGATGATAAGCGTATGGTAAGATATAAACTCGTGTGGTAGGGAGAGTGAGTTATCAGGTGAAATTGAGCGGATTCGGATCAAGAGAATAAGTGAGATTTTCTTCATACTATTCACGAAAGGAACGAAATTGCACAAATGGTGCGCTTGCCGCGGAATACGTATGCTAGACTGCTAAAATCTTGCGGGAAGGTCTCCTAAAAGGAGCGCCTTTGATGAGAGATTTTTCTTCTGGTAGTCAGCTTTAAGGATTATTTTAGAAAAATGACGGAGAATCGAGGAAACTTTTCAACTCCAAGTAATCAAAGTAAGTCAGAGTAAACCTCACCGGTTACTGCGAGAAAGATTTCGTCTGCATAACCAATCCTTTATCCTTACGAAAACATAAATTCATTTCGCATAAAACAGAAGAAATCATATCTATACAAACATGTACAAGTACATATTGTTGCTTGGAAGATAAAGACTATCTCAGCTGTATATAAACCTACTTGGTTACATTTTTAACATTTAGGTTCAAGCAGACCGTTTAACATGCAACATCTGGATTTTGGATCTATTAATGACGTTCAAAATGATTTGTCAGGTACAATATTTATGTCTACATATGTGCCCGTATTTTAGTGCTGCAATATGGTAGACGAAACGGTAAACAAATTTGTTTCATCCATTACAGAGAAAAGAAGACAGTTTAAGCTTAATTTTCAAACACAAGGGAGTAATATATCATTTAGCAATTCAACAAATTCTACACTTTCTAATTCAACTGGAACAACATCTAGTTTACCAATGTAAGTTGAATGATAGACTTTTAGGTCTACTTCTTGTTGTAACTATGTTTTATGTAATGACAGAACTACTCGTCCAAATTTGCCTTTATCTTTGCCGAAATTGCCAGTAAGACCGTGCACTGCAATTCCAGAACTGCCTGATAAGGCGAGGTAACAATGATAATGGAGTAAATTAATTGTTTGTCGATAGTTGCACGATATGATTTGGCAAATTGTATTATAGGGATAAATTACGAATGTGTCAGTCGATGCAGAGTACTGGCAAATTACAGCTATCACCAAATGTAGTGTACGATTTCACAAGTGAAGATTTACAAGATCTAGGAGAAATAGGACGAGGAGGGTTTGGTACTGTAAATAAAATGGTTCATAGGATAAGTGATACTGTCATGGCTGTGAAGGTAGATAGGATTCGATTCGTTCAGTGAACAAGACTTGTGAGAGCGTTCATCATTCATGTCTAATTGCAGAGAATTCGTTCTACAGTGGATGAAAGGGAGCAAAAACAACTATTAATGGATTTAGAGGTTGTAATGAAATCCAATGAATGCCCGTGCATCGTGCAATTTTATGGAGCTCTATTTAAGGAAGTAAGTTACCAACAAATTGATTAGTAATCCTAATAATAAATACGAAATTTCGTCATCAGGGCGACTGTTGGATTTGCATGGAACTCATGGATACGTCGTTAGATATATTTTACAAATTTATTCACGAGGTATTGGAGGAAAGAATACCCGAACGTATTTTAGGAAAAATTACCGTCGCTACTGTGAAGGCATTAAATTACCTCAAAGAGAAACTAAGAATAATACACAGGGACGTGAAACCTAGCAATATTCTATTAGATCGGCATGGTAACATAAAGCTCTGCGATTTCGGTATATCAGGACAGTTGGTAGATTCCATCGCGCGGACTCGAGACGCTGGATGTAGACCGTATATGGCTGTACGTAGAACGAAACTCGATTATCTAATCCTTAACTATTACGCGTGGTTAGAATCGATGATGAGCCTGTCATCATTTTTCAGCCAGAAAGGATAGACCCTCAACGTGCAAAGGGTTACGACGTCCGAAGCGACGTATGGTCGTTGGGGATTACGTTAATGGAAATAGCGACTGGGTACTTTCCATATCCGAAATGGAACTCGGTCTTTGAACAACTTTATCAAGTGGTCCAAGGTGATCCGCCACGGCTGTCTCCCAACGAAAACGGGAACCATTTCACTATGGATTTCGTGAATTTCGTGAACACGTGGTAAGTTGATATGACGTAAATTCGTTCGAAATGTTCGCTTCATGTTGACCGCAAGTACTATTATTGTACTTTAGTTTAATAAAGGAGGAAACGCAGCGACCAAAGTACAAGAAATTACTGGAGCACACGTTCATCAGAAAGGCTGAAGAAGATACGGTCGATGTTTCAGCATACATAAGCGGCGTTCTGGACAACATGGCTCTCAGGGGATTGACGCCTTTTACCACCAATCGGCATTAAACGGAAAACGACGGACACATTTGTACCTTAATTTCTATCATTTCCTTCGATTCTTAAATTTGATTATTGTACATGAGTAGATTATCCGCACCTCGAGTTAGATATAGATAGTGAAATTAATCAACATTGATCATTGTCGATAATAAGAATCATTTTATGTAGGATCCTATTATCGTGTCACAGAGTTCTTGTATACATAGTAATTAGAAGTGTTCTAATAACGAGTTGACCTTTAATGAATAGTGTATAGACGGAAGATTGTAAATCAGCTTTGTCATTGGAATTTCTTGATACGATTTCAATGAAAATTATTGATCAAGTCCGTTTACGATCAGCGTGCTATCGTTCTAATCATTATGGTGATGAAATCCGGATATATATATATATATGTAACGTTAGTTAAACGATAAAGAAATGCAATATGTTGATGTAAACGCTATACTTTAAGTTTTTTGTAATTTTCATAGTGTTGTAACGATTTTTGATGCAATCGATTTAAGCCAAGTCAGGAAGGAGATGAAACAATATAGGACGACTATTATTCTTGTTGGAACGAGTGAAAAGTATGTATAGCATATAGAAAAGTTCAGTAAATCGTCTACTTCTTTATCACTGCTACGATGAGAAAATGATTACTTTTTCGTAATGTTTATGAGAAGATTACATTCCTTGCTTCTTTTTTGTCAATTTATAGGACTGGAACAGATTGCGACGAGCGTGGCTCTATTCGGTTCGTTTTAGCGTCGGGCAAGGATTACTCTTGTATAAACTTTTTGTACAAAAAGTTCTTTGCCTTCATTTTTACAATCGTGTCGGCAAGAGCAAGTTCCTTGTTCCAGGACAGTGGCAAAATCATCGCATTTAACGGAAACGATCTTGATTTTTACAATGATATAGTTCCTCTGTTGAATTTTATACAACTGTGTGTGTGTACGAGCAAATAAAAATCAAACACATACACACGAGAAATAATGTATAAAATAAATAACGTATATGAATATATAATATACTAATTACGTATTCAATACATTGTGACACGTGTGAATCCGCGCGCGCGCGCGCGCGTGTGTATGCATGGTGTGACGTGGGCAAGTAACGTAATTAATTATCGCTAGAATTGTTCCGCCTTCGTAAATTTTATAAGAAAGACAAATTTTCGTAAGCGAAAAGTTTTGAGAAAGTCGAATTTTATAAGAGAAACGAAACAACACGATAGCTTCATTAATAAAAATCTTGATTCCTTCGTATTTAAATAAAAATCTGCACCTCGGCATAAACTCTTCATTGTACGTCACTTGTATAATATATACTATACTCGGCATTTTTTTAACACCTTAATTCCAGTGCTGAAACTCTCTCTTGAAAATTTTAGGCATATTTTTATTATTTAGGAAAATTATAGCATGATAATTTGATGATCTGTTTTTATATTTTGGATTAAACCTGGCAAGTGTCCCAATTTCTTTTATGCGTTATCTTGAAATTATAGAAAAATATACCAGCGTGAACAGAAATTGGGACATTTACCTCACAAGTGTATATACAAGATGTAAAATATTCACGAAGCGAAACGTTGATAAGAAAAGATGAGAGGGTTGATAAATCAATAGCTTTCTCGTTGAAATTAAAAGAAACTATCGATCGGAGGTAAGACATTTTCATAAGAAGCTCTCTTTCAACTTGTGCAATTTTTATTCAACGTGTTTAAAAGTAAATTGAACCGTAATCGATAATTATGACGAACGCGCGTCTGTCTACGTGTATATAAATGTCAAGTATTTAGCTATTTCCGAACACCTGCATATATACATGGTGGTACCGTTCACCCGAATAAGAAGACGGCGGTAGTTTCAGTGGCTACCGGTGGATATGACGACAGTGTATCAAAGGTAATATTCGTCCACATTTTTATTTAAATAGCTCGGTAAATTATAGCAAACATCTAGTGTATAATAATTAAATCCGAACGAGTCACATTTAGATGTACATTAAAATATCGTAAAATACAACCGAGTCTTTTGTTTGTAATTTCAAACAGAACGATTCTATTCGTTACGTGCTTGATGGTATCGAATTAAAATATGAAATGCGAGATCATTTTTTTAAATTATCATTCAAGAGGAACATGTTTAATGTTTTAAAGCCAGCTTCACGAATAAATTAACAACAGTGTTCCGTCGTATGTATTTAACTGTATTTGTCCATGTGACCATCACTCTCGCTGTCGTTACCATATCGGCGACGCGGTAGCTGGGGATCAATTCCCTTGAATATTTGATGAGAGGCACCATCATTCTCCTGAAATCTATACTCACGTTCGCGTCTATATTCGTAACTTTGCAGAGTAGCATACTCTTTCGAGTTAACCATTGAAATACGTCCACATCATGTCTCTTATAATGACCTATAAACGTATCCTAAGAGGATGCGTTAAAATCTATCGATCATTCATGCTACACTTTTCAAGGAAACACTCTTTTTCCTAGCTGTGTAGTTTCCCGAGTTTCCCTCGACTTATTTGATGGCTTCTCAGTATTGCATAATATACCCCTTTCGAGCCTACAGTAATTCAGTATACCAGATCGGACTGGTCGTGGAAGGGAACATTCGGCGATGAAACATTCAAAGATTCGATTACTAGGATCTGAACCAAGTTTTTATAGCAATGATACATTAAATGTAATTTAAGGTACCCTAAAAGTTTGTCAAAACGTAGACACCCTCGACATTTTGAACATGAAGGAACAGTTTCTTGAAACGTGGAAAGAAAAAATTCTGGAAGCATTTTTCAGCAGCGGCAATTAGTAATAATACACGGTGATGGAACGGAAAGTGGACGTGAGTCACAACCTGACGCAGCGGAGGGTAGCAGGTGTTGTTGGCGCCGTTAGGTGCTGGTACTGTCGGTGCTGCTGGTGCTACCATTATTGCAGGACTGACCACCTGGATAGGCCAGCAGGGGAACGGATGTTCCCAGGAGATTATTGATCGTCCACGTAGATACTTGGACTACATACATGCACGATTTTGCCATGATTTTCATTCCATCTTTTCCCGGTTCGAGACCCGAACAATGTACCAGTATATCCACGTCTATCATATGCATTGAAATCGACAATGTACATTTTTTTTTTTATTAACAAAGTTTTATTGCCCGTGGAACCAAGTTTTCGCGTCAGCAGAAGAAGCTGTTTATACTGTGAACTTTTAGGAATCAGCATTTAAACTGAATTTTATGCATTTACAAAAGATCAGAGTGCACATGAGAAATGTGCAAAACATGAAAAGTACGAGACAAATCATTTGTTTTTAACGACTGCCATCGCGACTCTTTTATTTTTCACAAAGCAGTCTAGTCAATAGCAAATTGTGGTCCCACGGACAAAGGGTTGGCCAATTATTGGCTGCCGCCCACGCGATGCTGTCGTGTGCGTCTTTGAATCCTTTTTGCGTTGAATTTGTGAGGAAAATATCCCAACGATCTTGGTGAAAGTCGACCAATAATAAGCAAGCCACTGAAATTTAACACGCCATCGCCGACATTGTCGAATAGCCACGATTCTTTCCCCTCTCTTTGCTACCAGGATATCGTAACCGACGGTCACTGCCTCTCTGATTCGATCAATGAAAGTACCTGTACCAGATCGTTCTACCTTGCGACCACCCCCTACTGACAATGAGCCACATGATTCCCATTTTGCTTTATAGGATCCGATTATTTTTATCTACCCGACATTAAACCACCTTTGGTATAACAGAATTAGAGTTTACAATGAATGTCGTTTTTTCAGACAGATTCTAAATATAAAGCAAATAAAATGCAAGAACTCTGAGTAATACAGGCGAATCATTGGAAGAAGTTGCTAATTTTCGAGATTCGTCAAATATAATTTTATCATTGTAAATCGCAATACTTGATAATTTCTTACGTGTTGTGCAACATGTTGAAAACTACAGAGAAGCGAGTCATAAATAATGATGGAAACACGTCAGTGCGATATACAACAAACGCGGATTAGAATCGTAGTTTATCAGTAGATAATCGTCTAATGGAATGGTTTATGTGGAATAGATGTTTTTTAAAAATGTTATGCGACACTTTTGAAGCTTATTTACCTGTTTTGCATGCAAACGAAAAGAAATAGGAGCATATCTACGAGAGGGTGAATTTGCCCCCTTTTAATAGCCGGGAAATTGGGAGAAGGGAAAAAGGTTTGCACGCAGGTTTGAACAAACGTATAGGTGTGCATATGGTCCACCTGCAAAAGGGAGCCAGCACCTGTCACGCACACCAGCCAGGGCCAATGGTTTACGGCAAGCGACCAAGTAGATTCAAAGTGGGGGTTTATCAGGGCTTTCGTTACCCCTTGGTACTAGTTTCATTCGAACAATCATGCGGCTTACACGTTTTATTCCAGCGCGTCGGTGAGGATGTACGTACGTGGTGTAACGAATTGTAATCGGCGCGTTCTCCGAGCCCTTTAAACGTTTCCCTATAAATGCGTTTCACCAAACAGTTTTCCGCCTGCTTTTGTACGCGTCCGCTTTGAGAATGATCAGAGGTGCGTTGCGGAGCTTTCGAATGCTTTGCATTTCGTTAAAACGAAATTATGGACAGATGAGGCGTTTCACGTTCGATCAATCAGATATCGTGTAAATTAACGAAAGCAATGTTTCGATATTTTTACCCAGGCTCTTGGCGTTCGATATTTCCGCGATGAAAAATGGTGAAAATGAAGCGAGAATCGATCGACAGTGAGGCACCGAATAATCGCGGTCCGTTAACAATGAGGGAGAATAATGACGATTACGGTGTCGAAGCGGAATTGACCAGTCTCTCTTGGCTGCAATCGCTGGACATTACGAGTGCTTCGAATTTGCCAACGCCACCCTGTTCTCCATCTCCGCCGCCAGTAACGCGACAACCAAGAAAAAAGCTATCACCCCTGATCAAGGCCGAACTAGGTGAGCGACTAATGATTCATTCGAATCCAATCTCTGTCTATGCAAACGCGTCAGCAAGGACTTTAGATGTTTTTTAATTCAAAGTCGAATTGTTTGATTAAGTTAATTCTCTCTTTATACAGATCTTGCGGCAAATGCTGAAAAGTATCGAAACGACCCCGACGCGAAACCCCCATTTTCGTACGCCACGATCATTTGCCTGGCGATGCGTGCGAATAATAACAAAGTGTCCCTTTCGAACATTTACGCATGGATTCGAGAGAATTTCTTATTTTACAAATACGCCGATCCAGCCTGGCAGGTAAAATAGTTTCTTAAAGAAAATTCTCTACACGTAGACCTGATCAGGGAAAGAAATTCTACTTATTTCATTATAAATTATTTCTAATGTTTGCTCATTACGGAACTTGTAACGTTTAATTTGGCACAGAACTCGATTCGACACAACCTGTCGTTGAACAAGTGTTTCGTAAAGCTGCCGCGTTCAAAGGACGAGCCTGGCAAAGGGGGTTTCTGGAAGTTGGACTTGGAGCGGATGGAAGAAGGTAGAAAATCGAAACGACGCGCGACCATGTCTCAGCGCGTCCGCGGATCGAAGAAGTCAACGTCTCCGAAAACGATGGTAACTAATAACGTGCAGAGTAACGGTACACCGTCAATTAACAGTCCGTCCACATTGTACGAGACCCCGCCCAGTAGCGTGTCTCCGCCGATTCCAGACTGTCTCTCAGAGATTCCCGACTCGACCCAAGTTAGTTTAAGCGAGGACGATCTGACTGGTTTATTAATCGCCACTGCTGGCTGGGATGAGAACCAGCTGGATCTGTTGGATTCGCTTCTCGATACTCTTTAAAACTTTTGTCTTTCTTAAAGTTATTCTCAATTTATTGAACGGATGATATTTATATATATACGAAATTAGTCATTTTCACTGTTGAGATACTTGTTGATATAACGACATGATTTGTGCTTATTACTTGACTGACAAAAGTTCGGCAATACATCGATAATTATATACATATACATAGTATACTGTGGTAATACTTGTGACACAGTAATTTGCAGTGTGCCTTCGAGTAAAGAATAAATATTTGTAATGTCGTACAGATTTGTCAAGTCGATTGATTCGTGTAGAGTACGTCTCATATTTTTGCTTCAAAGTAATGAAACACAAAGTGCCTTACATAATATTGTTAGCGACAAAATTATATTTTGATTCTCGACTACTCTGGAAAATGTATTTTGCATATATTCGCAATCGATTAACAAAAGTAATACGAAGGAAGCAATAAAATTGTCAGCAATTTACTGATCGTAATTATATGCAGGACTGATGTGCATACCGCGTAAACGCCTAATACCAAAAGACTTTTTACAGTGATATCGACACGATCACAGCCTTTCAATTAAATCGAATAATCAGTATTTTCCAGAAATTACTCTCTTAATAATAATACATCGAATATGATGAAACTACGTGTATATGCAATTCAGATATAGGTATATATATCAAATAAATTTCCGTCCAAATATTGTTTGCAATTACATGTTTTATGAAATAAAATATTTTTATGCGCACGATCTACGTCTTTTCAGTTTTGTTGATTACGAAAGACGGTATATATTATTAAGTATTATTTATAATTTAAGTAATATTTACACTAACAAAGGTGTGCACAGGACATAGTAATTACATTTACTAATTATGCACTCTTCGAATAAAGCGATCGTAACTCGTAAGAATCACTTTGTATGAATTTCAAGTGAAATGTAGGAATACACCAGAAACATATGTTTAGCAGAGTACTTTGCATATGGAATATTTTACCAGTCAAGTGGTTAAATATAAAGAATAGTCAAACTTTTAATGTAGTCCGTCTTGAATTAGTAATGTGCTTCAACTAATATATAATTTGTAAATAAATTTACTTGATTTGAAATTGTTCTTCTTGCGAACTTTTATTTCTCCTGTTTTACTACGATTTGTCAATAAAATCGAATTATAATTAAATATATTACTTGCCCATTTTGCAATGTCCAATTCCTTCTCAATGACTTTCACGATTGAACACATGACAATTTCAAACACAGAGTTTGAATCGAATATGTAATTAATTTTACGTGCACTAAAAGACGTTCTCACAAGATCTGTTTACGAGCTCTAGTATTTTTTCCGTACCTTAAAAATGTCCTAGGCCCTAGGCGGTGGCCACACTACCTAACGAAATG